TAACGTAGACCATGGCATACTGCGTTCACTCTTTCCCATCTATAAGAGCTAGCTGCTCGTAACGACTTTTTTACCCATTCTGTGCCGCCGAGCTCGGCTCCAGGTGCCTTAAACTAGGTTTCCTTCCTGTCCACAGTTCAAAAGGGATCTTTGGAACTGCCTTACTAGGAACCCTGTTTAGTAAATATACATCGGTTTTAAGAGCATACATCCACAATGATTTGGGTAATGAGGAATTACTCATCATGCTCCTAACCATATCCATAAGTGTTCGATTACACTTTTCTGCAACACCATTTTGTTTAGGTGTTCCTGGCATAGTATACTGTGCACATATGCCATGTTCCTCGAGGAACTTTGCAAATGGACCTGGACATTGTCCTGATTCATTATATTTTTCATAATATTCACCGCCTCTATCTGACCTAATGATTTTCACTTTTTTATCTAATTGCCTTGCAACCTCATTAACAAACACTTTGAGAGCATTTGTTGCTTGAGATTTTTCTTTCAGCAAATAGATATATCCGTAACGTGAAAAGTCATCGATAAAAGTGATAAAATATTTTTCTCCACCAAAAGATGGAACATCAAAGGGTCCACAAATATCGGTGTGTATAATTTCAAGAAGCAGGATGCTCTTGTGGCACCTTTCTTACAATGCTTGGTTTGCCTTCCCTTAATGCAATCCAAACATATAGTAAGATCAGTAAAATTTAGATTCGGAAGAATCTCATTCTTTACTAATCTTTCTAACCTTTCTTTCGATATATGACCCAAACGTCAATGCCACAAGTAAGTAGAACTTTCATCTAGTGAACTACGTTTAATTCCAACATTATGTTGAACAGTAAGAAGGGATTCATAAAAACCAATATCGAGTTTCAATTTATATAAACCACCACTAAGAAAACCAGAACCATAAAAAATAGCATTCTTATATAAATTGAAACATCTATTTCCAAACTTCAAATCAAATCCAGAAACATCAAGTCTTGAAAGAGAAATCAAAGTCCTAGAAACTGAAGGTACATAAAGAATCTATAATAGATCAAGGTGACGTCTAGTCTCCATGATCAAACGATAAGTCCATATGCCTTCAATTGGAGCCTTCATACGATTTCCCATGAACAAGAAATCCTTGTTTGAATTTGTAGTTTGGATCGTAAGGAATCCATGCAACGTAGTAGATACATGAGCAGTTGCACCAGAATCAAGCCACCAAGTATTATTAGGAACTTCTATTAAATTTGATTCGAAACATACAAAAGCACTAATTGTACCTTTCTTTTCGAACCAAGCTTTACGTTTCAGGCAATCTTTCTGATAGTGTCCTTCCTTGTTACAGAAACGACACGTATCTGCCTTATGTTCCTTGTTAGCATCCTGTTGAGCTTTAGCAGGTGCTTTCTTCTTCTTGAACTTGTTGGCCTTCACTTTAAGTCCTTTACCAGCTCCTTGACCCATGAGGTTAATTGAATGACTCCCTTGTTTCTTAAGTCTTGACTCCTCCTGAGTAAGCATACTGGACAATTCACTAACATTCCACTTATCCTTAATAGTGTTATAGTTAATTTGAAAAGGTCCATACTCAGGAGGCAACGAGTTCAGAATGAACTGAACCAAGAAGGAATCATCCACTTTCATCCCCAAGGTCTGAAGTCTTGCTGCAATGTTAGTCATCTCGATGATATGGTTTTGCATACTACACGACCCATCAAACTTCATGGTCGTGAGTTCAGCTATTAGTGTACCAGCGAGAGACTTATCTGCAGAACGAAAACGTTCTTCCACAAACTTCAAGTATTCCGTGGCATTTTCTGTTTGTGGAATAGTACTCTTAATGTTGTTGGCAATATTCATTCGCATAAACATAAGGCTTAGCCTGTTAGAGCGTTTCCATGCTTTATGGAAAGACTTCTCATCCGCACTGCTCCAATCAGTAATGGCAGCGGGCTTATCATTCAGCATAGCCAAGTCAAGATCCATCACATCTAAGTGGAACTGGACTTGTTCACGCCATTCAGAGAAGTTCAATCCGTTGAACACAGTAACAGACGAAGCAAGCAAGTGAAAAAGAATAGCTGCAAAATAGATAATAAATGCTCACAAATCAATATGGATTCAACAAAACAGTTAAAGCATATCGCAATTCTCCTTTGGGTAAATACTACGACACACTATCATAATTTAAATGCCATTTAGTCTTTAATAGGTAATTAAATATTTTTAACCAAATATATATGCCATCTTTGGACAAATAATATATATTTGACTAAAGAATATTAATTTTACCTCATCATATTCACTATTCATAGAATAATTGATTCACCTTTGGGTAAATCCTTAAGTTCTAGCAATAGTGAAAATTAATTTATCCACTAATATTTAATAATTATAGGCATTTTATTAATTTCATGGATAAACTATAATTTTATGTATGCATATTTCCATAAACAAACTAGTTTGGCCATTTTGGTGACTAGCAAACTATATAAAAAAGTGCACACACAAAATAGAGATCATAAGATTTTATGCATGTAAATACTTTAAACGGTCTAGTTTGATCACTTTGGTTTCTAACAAACTATATAAACATTAATCACATACATAAAATAAATAATAAATGACTTCACCAACTTAATAGTCCAAATACTTAAATTAAATAGATCAAAATAAATTTCTTTATGGACTAAGGTTAAACAGTAACTGATCTATCTTTTTTTTTCTTTTCTTTTTTTAAAATCTTTCATAAAAGGAATCTTTCATAATGGCTTAGAAGTAACGTTGGAACCTAATACAAGAAAGATCAAACATTGAAGGTTAGTGCTTTAAAGAAAATGCTACATTTGGGTGGGGTTATAGAATAATTTAGTCCCACAAATATTCATTCCCAATATATAATTTCATTAGATTTCTTTAACTGAAGCAACATTAAAGCAAAATTTATGACAGGGCAATAAAGAGAGGAACATAACAATAATGATATAGTTTTTCTTTTGCGAAGATTATCAGTTCAAATATCCAGGCTTTGATATCACATGTAGACATAAACGTTAATTGCATACCAGGATCTTGAACATGGTAATTTTACACAAAATCGTTACAGAAAACATACCTGAATCGCAAGCCATCATCGTGAAGCGGGAGCGTCAATTCAAAATTGGTTTCTCGCCCTTTGCCCTAGCTTTCGTTACCGCCGACTTTAGTGATGGAAGAGAGAAAATAAAATACGGTAATCCTAATGGGTGGGGAGAGGACCAAATTATAGAGGTTCTCACTTAATCCGGTACGTCCATCAAATAACCGATCGGACGGATGAGATTTGCTCATTAATTAAATATTAATTATGGGCCTTAAACTTATTGGGCCACCAATAAAGTAACGTAAGATCTTACATTTTTGGCCTGCAACTTGTGCGCTTGACTAATAAAATAGTTATTTTTCACTTGTTGGAACATTCATATTGTGTTTGAAACCAATAAATTTAATCCAAGAATTTGAGCTTAAATATATATAAACGTGTAGGCCTAAAAAAGAACCAGATTGGTGCATTGGATATATCTTCGACTCCATTGACAATGTCCTGTTCACATGTGATCTAACTTACTTTCGTTCTCATTTATCTTATTTTATTTTATTTTTGTTCTTTGTAGATCCTATCTTCTTATTCCTTTCACATTAAAAAATGTCAATATATGTATTTTTCTATTTTGGTAGGTAGCAGAAGCGCGAATTAACTGCAAAACACGAAATAAACCTAATTTCATGATGATAAATATCTGTAATTAGCTAAATTGTAATGAAACGTACCAAGATGAACCACACATAAGATCCACGTAAAAAAGCAGCTCGGTGCATAAAATATCCTGCATTTATATAGGGTCCGGGAAAGAATCGCATCCCAAGGATCGGAGTGTGATTTAGACAACCTATACCCTGATGCAAGCATTAATGGTTGCTTCCACGGCTCGAACCCTACACAGATAACCTTATTGTTACTCCAACGTCGCCTTCCTCACATAAGATCCGCGTAAATATCAAATTTCGAAAAGGATTCTTATTTCCAAAAATTTGTTTGTTAATTTCCGTGACGTAAAAATCCATGCAAAATAAGGAAAAGTTTGAATCTAAAGTCATAGCTTTGAGATATTTTGGACAGTTTCAGACTTCTTCGAGAATAGTATACTTTTTATTATATTGTCAAAGCAAAATATAGATTAAGTAAATTGAAAAGTAGATAGTTCAACTAATTAATATCTTTGTCTGCCACCCATAATTTCCTAAAATAAGAAAAACCAATTCTTACTCTATGTCCTTCCCACCACTTTCCTCAACCCTTGGTCGGTTGGTCCTCTCCCTAATTAAAGGGTATAAATATAGATGTTTCATGTAAATTCCAAATCTCCACCTCTTCCATTTTACACATATTAATGAGAAAATTATACTTATAAGAGTCGATCATTTATATATAGTAGTATATACTTAGTAGTAGAGAAAAAGATCCTTTTTGCCCTAACCTTCGATCTCCACTAGCGCGACAACTGTCTAAATCATTTGACGCTTCTTCTCACTGAGCAATCGCTCGACTTCCACTTGAGGTTCGGAGAAAACTTATACTTAGTAATTTCTTTTGTGTAGAGAGAAAGCTCCTCTTTGCTCCAACCTTCAACCTCCACCAGCGTGATAACTGTCTAAATCATTTGACGTTTTTTTCACTGAGCAACCTTCGACTTCCACTTCAGGTTCGGGGAAAACTTATAGGGAGAAGATATGGGAAATTGCTGCCTTAAACATGGATCTAACATGGTATGGGCAGGAGATGATGATGAAGAGTGGGAATGTGTCGTAGCGCCAAAAACTTTAGTTGAAGAGAAAGAAAAATTGTTGAGTGATAATTCCAGAGACTTATTCTCCTCTTCTTCTTCTTCTTCTTCATCAACGATTAATTATAAAGAGGTGAAGATTAGAATATCAAAAAAGGAGCTAGAGAAAATGCTAGGGAAAATTGAGAATATGGAGGAAGTAACAATGGACCAACTCTTGTCTGGATTTTTGAGTTCTAGCAATAATAGCTTTGAATGTGAGAATTTCCAGGTTCAACGCTCCTGGAGACCTCGTCTTCAGAGCATTCCTGAGGTTGATTGACGTTGAGAAAACCCTAAACAGAGGCGAATACAAAATTTATAGTCAGTGCGTTAAAAATGAATATTATATTATATTCCGCATATATATGTGCTTATATATCGAGCCAAAAGCAATGAGTTCACGGGGTGGTGAAGGATTTTTGTTTCCTTCCTAATTTTCTCTGCCTTCTTTAATTTGTTTCTTTTTGTTTATACATTGTTAGGTTTTAGGTGTATTTATTGATAACGTTGTAAAGAAATTAACTGGATTACTCAATATTTCTGTATAAAGTTTATTATATTTTTAAGGCCTTTGAAAAATTAATACTAATTGTTTAGTCCAAATATATGAGTAATTGAAATTAAGAAAAAATAAAAGAAATTGAACAAATACAAAGTCAGAATTCTTTTATTCATATTATATTATATTATATTATTCAACGTGGAGATCCATTTAGCCAATATAGCTTTGGGTAGCTAGGTCTTATAAGCAGTTTTGTCTGTCATTGCTTTTCTTTAAATATTTGGATTTTCAGATTCAATGTTTGAAATTCTTCTTATATTTATTTCACCTTAAGTATTTTAGCTACGTACTCAGTTGAACGGTCGTCTATCTATCTTGTTAAATTGTTAGCTTAACCAAACTATGACTCAATCGTAAAAGGTGTGCGTTCACTATTATATTGGTCTCTGGAATTAGGAAGCCATGTAGGTTTGAATTGAAATTAAAATAAGTATTTTAAATTAGAAATTAAACCGTGATATGTACTTGAATTTCTTTTTTAAGTTTATGAGTGAAAAGTAGTAGGAGCATTTCACTTGATATACTGATCATGACCAAACAAGTATTTTTGAGTGTGATCTTGATTGTTTTCATTATTTTATATTGTTAATTCGTTAGCATTATGTGGACACTATCATATTCTTTTTATTTATAGCCATTATCCAAATGCACTTCAAATTTATCTGGATTATATTTTATTATCTGGATTGCTAAGCTCCTTAAAAGGATTAGCGAATAAGGTTTTCACCACATCAATAATTCCAAACTAAGCATTTTAGGGTGTGTTTGGCATGAAGGAAAATGTTTTCCTAGAAAATGTTTTCATGGAAAATGAGTGATTTTTTTTAATTAATCACTTTTATATTAATCACGGATAAAACTGTACAAAATCATAGCATCGCTTACACATCTAGCTATCTCATTACAACTCTATCACCTATTTAACATGAAATATATACACTCAAACAAAAATATAACTTTGTACTAATCTCTGAATGCCAGTAGTAGCTCTAATGTTGCATATGTATGCTATTTCATGTGCAATAGCATTCCAATCTCGAGTCCTTTTTTCATAGATCCTCAGATGAGTGATAAATGTTGGGAATAAGCCACCCCTCCCCTCACCCCACAAATATAATATTCACGGTAATAACAACGGAACAATAATGTAGTACTGAAATACGGTAATCAACAAGAATAAAAAGTAATAACAAGGACACAAAGATTTGTAACGTGGAAAACCCTTCTGAATAAGGGGAAAAAAAACGAGCCCGAGAGGAGCAAAGTAATCCACTATAATGAGAAATTTTACACCCAGTAGTCCGAGTAAAATACTCCAGGGACCACTATACACTTAAAAGAAATAACCCTCTTTTAAGATTCTCACCTCACTACAATATCGTTCACACTCTCTATTTTTCCTCACAGACTACACCGCCTGTGAATACCTTTCGCTGCTCTCTAACTCTTAGATATATTTTGCTCTGAGATTGGTGTATTAAATAAGAAGCTGAAGCTCTCTTTTATAGGAGAAATGGACGAGCTCTTCAACTAATCAAATTGATTGTCTTTAGCAAGTTGCTGTTGCAATTTACCAATTTGCAAGAATGCAAACTGTTGCCAAAACCGATTTGGCAAAATCTGTATGGAATCTAACATTTCTTTTTCTTTTTCAATATGGGGATGGACCCTACAATCTCCCCCTCTAGACCCATCCACTTGAAGGAGGTAGCATCGGACTTCTAACTTGAGTGCATGCCGACAAGTTCTTTGCACAACTCGAACTTGTCTCTTGGTACCACCTTGGTCAGCATATCTGCAGGATTCTCACTTGTAGAAATCTTCAAGACTTTTAGAGATTCATTCTCTACCATTTCTCGAATCCAGTGATATCTCACGTCGATGTGTTGTACATAGAGTTCTTATTAATATCTATTGCACTTTGACTGTCACAATAGACGACATACTCCTTCTAATGCAATTCAAGTTCTTGAAGGAACGGTTTCAACCATATTATCTCCTTGCTAGCTTCAGTAGCAGCAATATAGAGTGTGACACACTTCTGCAACCTCGACTGCCATGATATAGCTCCCCCTGAAAATGTAAATAAATATCCAGTAGTGGATTTTCTGTTATCAATGTCACCTGCCATATCAGCATCTGTATAGCCCTTCAAGATTGGATTAGATCCTCCAAAGCACAAACAATATCCCGTGGTACCTCTCAAGTACCTAAGTATCCACTTGATTGCTTCCCAATGTTCTTTTCCAGGATTTACAAGAAACCTGCTGACAACACCAACTACGTGAGCAATATCTAGTCTAGTGCATACCATTGAATACATCAAGCTTCCAACGGCAGAGGAATAAGGAACTCTGGTCATGATCTTCTTTTCCTCCATTGTTGTAGGACACATCTTCTTGCTTAACTTTAGATGACTAGCAAGAGGTGTGCTGACTGGCTTAGCATTCTTCATGTTGAAGCGTTCCAGTACACGTTCAACATACTTCTCTTGAGACAGTCACAACTTTCTGCTTGTTCGCTCTCGAACAATCTTCATTCCTAGAATTTGTTGTGCTGGGCCAAAGTCCTTCATATCAAATAACTTGGACAAGTCTCCCTTCAACTTTGCGATCAGCTCCTTGTCTTTTCCTACAATTAACATTTCATCCACATACAACAATAAAATAATAAAGTTGTTGTCAGAAAATCTTTTGAAGTATACACATGGATCGGAATATGTCTTTTTGTAAGTTTGACTTTTCATGAATGAGTCAAACTTCTTGTACCATTGCCTTGGTGCTTGCTTCAACCCATAAAGACTCTTATTCAATTTGCACACCATGTGTTTTTTTCTAGCTACTTCAAATCCTTCTGGCTGCTCCATATAAATCTCCATGAAGAAATGTAGTTTTCACGTCCAACTACTCCACTTCAAGATCTAGGCTAGCTGCTAAGCTCAAAATGGTTTGAATAGAAGTCATTTTGACAGCAAGTGAGAAAATTTCATCAAAATCAATACCTTTCTTCTATTCGAAGCCTTTTACCACCCAATCGAGCTTTGTATCTGACCAGCTTGCCATTTCCGTCTTTCTTGAGTTTAAAGAACCATTTGCATTTAAGTGGTCTTTTACCCTTTGGGAGTTCAACCAGCTTGTACGTGCCATTTTTCTGTAGAGATTCCATATCTTCTTCTTGCATGGCTTTCATCCACTGGTTCTTTTCTAGATGAGACAACACCTCCTTAAGACTTTCTAGCTCCCCCTCATCATTGATGAGGACATACTCTCTAGAAGGGTACCTGCATGACTCTACCCTTAGCCTCTCTGATTTCCTCAAAGGTTGAGGTTGTTCTTCTTCATGAGTGGGGTACTCCACTTGCTTGACATCATCATCAAGTTGCTCCCCCGGCTCAATAACCTCACCAGGTTGCTCCCCCGCTCCCCCTGCTCGGCAACCTCATCGGTCCTACTTTCTGCATTTGTGGGATTGCTAGAAGTAGAAGGAATGGTAACAAAGTTAGGGATTATACCATTCTTGGCCTTCTCTGACTGATCATCTACAGCTCCAACTTCACTTTCTCGGAAGATTACATCTCTGCTTCTGATGATCTTCTTCTTTACAGGATCCCACAATCTGTACCCAAACTCTTCATCTCCATATTAGATGAATATGCAGGGAACAAATTTATCATCCAGCTTTGTTCTCTGCTCCTTTGGTACATGTGAAAAAGCTCTGCAACCGAACACCTTCAAATGTGAGTAGGACACCTCCTTGTTGGTCGAAACTCTCTCTAGGATGTCAAACGCCAACGGAAGTGATGAACTCCTATTGATCAGGTAATAGGCTATCTCAACTTCTTCACCCCAGAATGACTTAGGCAGTTTAGCCATTCTGAGCATGTATCTCACCTTCTGCACAATGGTGCGGTTCATCTTTTCGGCTACGCCATTGTGTTGTGGGGTTCCAGGAACTGTCTTTTCATGTCTGATCCCATGGCTCGAACAGTACTCTTCAAATTCCTTTGAAGTGTACTCACCTCCATTGTCACTTCGGAGACGCTTTAGCTTTTGGCCTGTCTCTCTTTCTACCAGAGCATGAAACTTCTGGAAAACTTGAAACACCTGATCTTTGGTCTTCAAAATATAAACCCATAATTTTCATGAAGCATCATCAATAAAAGTAACAAAATATTTGTTACCGCCCATCGATTCAATTTTCATTGGACCACAAACATCAGAATATACCAAACAAGTATATTCAATTTTCTTTCAGACGATGTTTGAAATGAGACTCTATGTTGCTTATCAAATAAATAGTAGTCACAAAGTTTTACCGTTGTACCTTTGGCATAAGAAATGGGTGATTTCTTGGCAAGAATCTGCAATCACTTCTCGCTCATATGACCCATTCTTTTTTGCCACAAATTTGCAGAAATCTCATCTTGTGCCGCGTTCAATTCACCTTGGCATATTTCTGCATTTGTCCTATACAACGTGCCACAAGCAACTTCCTTTGCAATCACCAATGATTCCTTGGTGAGTCTCCACTTTTGATTTGCAAAATAGTTCTCGTATCCATCTCGGTCTAAAGTAATTTCCGAGATCAAGTTCATCAGCAAATAAGGTACATGCCGCACGTCCTTTAGAACCAATGTACATCCGACATTTGTCTTGATACAAATGTTGCCAATCCCCGCAATCCTTGAGTAACTTGTGTTACTCATTCTCACAGTGCCAAAATCACCTGCTACATATCTGCAGAAAGTTCTCTTACCGGTGTGGCATGGTAAGATGCTGCTGTATCAACCACCCATTCCGACTCTGGACCTGACAAGTGCATGCATTCCTCTTCCTCATTTCTAAATAGGACAACATTATCATTGTCTTGCACCATGGTGGTTGTGTTGTCGTCATTCTTCTGGCCACTGCTTTCACCTTTGCCCTTCCTTGGATTTGGGCAGTCTCTTTTGAAGTGACCTGGTTGATCACAATTGTAGCAATTTCTGGCTCTTGATTTGGATCGATAGTTAGACTTCCCACGAGCTCCGGATCTGCCATAGTTGCTCGAACTTCTTTGATAACTCCTGCCTCCACCTTTTGTGATGAGAGCATGTCCTTGATTTTCAGGCTTCTTTCTCATCTTCTCGTTGAGTAGAAGAACCGATGTGACATCTTTCAACTCAATGGTAGTCTTACCGTGCAGGATGGTTGTTGCCAAATTATCGTACGAAGATGGCAACGAGTTCAATAGCAAGATGGATTTATCTTCTTCGCCGATTTTCACTCCGAGATTGGCGAGCTGTGTGATTAGTCCGTTAAGCACATTTAATTATGACAAAATATTCGTACCTTCACCTATGTGTAGGGCGTATAGTTGCTTCTTCAAGTACAATTTATTTGTCAGTATTTTGGACATGTACAGGCTTTCCAACTTTGTCCAAATGCCACATGCGATGTTTTCATCAATGATGTTATTTACCACATCATCTGATAAGTGCAACTTGATTGCACTAGCAGCCTTTTCATCCAAGTCAACCCAATCATCAGCTTTCATGGTATTAGGCTTTTGGCATCAACATCTAGTACCTTGTGTAATCCTTGTTGGATGAGCAGATCCCTCATCCTTCTTTGCCGTGTTGAGAAATTGTTATCTTCATTGACTTTTTCTACCTCGTACTTTACTCCGGATATTTTCTTTCACCGAGTGTAGCACTACCGATAGTGAATAGTATTTCTGTGAGCGAGCAGAACCTGTGCTCTGATACCAGTTGTTGGGAATAAACCCCCCACATAAATAATATTCACGGTAATAACAGCGGAATAATAATGTATGATAGAGATATGGTAATCAACAAAAATAAAAAGGAATAACAAGGGCACAAAGATTTTTAACGTGAAAACGCCTTCTGAACAAGGGAAAAAATCACGAGCCCGAGAGGAGCAAAGTAATCTACTATAATGAGGAATTTTACAAGCAATAGTCCGAGTAAAATACTCCAGGGACCACTATACACTCAAAAGAAATAACCCTCTTTTAAGATTTTCACCTCACTACAATATCGCTCACACTCTCTATTTTCCGTCAAAGACTTCACCGCCTGTGAATACCTCGCACTGCTCTCTAACTCTCAGATATATTTTGCTCTGAGATTGGTGTATTAAATAAGAAGCTGAAGCTCCCTTTTATAGGAGAAATGACCAACCTCTTCAAACAATCAAATTGATTGGCTTTAGCAAGTTGCTTTGCAATTTGCCAATTTGCAAGAATGCAAAATGTTGCCAAAACCGATATGGAATCTGACATTCCTTTTTCTTTTTCTTTTTCATTATGGGGATGGCCCCCACAATAAAATGAGTAATTTTATCACTTATTTTTCCTTGTTTGGTTGGTGAGTTGAAAATTTTTTTTTAGAAAAAATATTTTTATGCTACTCTCTTCATCCCCCCCCCCCCCCCCCCCCCCCCCCCCCCCACTACCCCCCCCCCCCCCCCCCCGCCTTTACTTTTCTATGCAAAAATAACGTTGAAATTTGTGCTCCATAACTAAAAAGAAAATACTTTTTTTTTGTTGAAAAATGAAGTACTCTTTCTACAACATGAAAATAAAGTACTCATTTTATTGAAATAAAAGAAAATATTTTTTCTAAATCATGAAAATAAAACACTCATTTTGTTGAAATAAAAAAAATACTTTTTTAATCATGAAAAGAAAATACTTTTTTGTTGAAATGAAAAAAAATACTTTTTCTACAGGAAAAGAAAGTATTTTTTTTGGTTAAAATGAAAAAAGAATACTTTTTTATATCATGAAAAAAACCATTCGTTAAAATGAAAAAAAAAAAATCTATCTATAACATGAAAAGAAAGTACTATTAATAATATTTTTATTTAGAGTGTGGGTGGAGGTGGTTGGAGAATAGGGTGAGGAAGGTTGAGAAAGAGTTTTGGAAAATGTTTTCCCTTCTCTTGATAGGGAATACGGTTTCCTCCAATTGGCGAAAAATGAGTTCATGAGGAAAATATTTTTTTAAAATATTTAAACCAACCAAACATGGTAAAATTGTAAAATATTTTCCGAAAAATATTTTTCTTCATACCAAATACACCCTTAATCTTGTTTAATGAACACTTAGCCTAGGAGTTTTTGCTATTGCACTAACCAAGTTTTCCAATATTATATAAGATCTTTTTCTTTTCATTTCCCCTCCTATTTACCACATGAAGAAACTTAAATTTTTTTTCCATCTGGTGTTCGTTTAAGTCTGGTAAGTCAGGTTCGCGCTGGAAATTTCATATTAGGGGTAAAACATTTCCTAATAAAGGCGATTTCTTACTCAGAATTCTCAAATCCTAGACCTCCGATTAAAAATGAAGGAGTACTTACCACTCCACCGTATTGCTTCAACTTTTCTTTTGTAGACTAGAGTTGGAGTCAGCATCTTATTCTTCTCAACTGAAAAAGGTACCTTTTTGTAAGTTTGTTTATTTTCTTCTGCCAAAAACAAGATTTACGAGTAGCAGTGATATGTTACATATACCAAACATATTAGACTATGGAACCTAATGAAAAATTGTTAAGAGTGTACTTTCCAGTTGACATATTAGACTATCGGAAACAGTCTCTTTGTCCTATCGGGTAGGGGTAAGGTCTGCGTACACATTATCCTCCCTAGACCCCAGCTGATGGGATTTTACTGGGTAGTTGTTGTTGTATCTTTTTTCTTTCATCACTTTTTTCAATTTGCAAATACAAGGAAATATTTTCTTATTTTAAGCGTTTTGATTTGATTACGACAACTTAGGGTGTGTTTGGTATTCAATTTCTCATATTTGATTGGTCGAAATGTTTTGGATTTTAGGAAAATAGATCCTTAAAAATAAGGAAAATGACGTCCTAGTAGAGTAGAAAAAACAAGTTCCATTAGTGGCATTCCACACTGAAAGCCTTTAGAGTTTAGAGGCGAGGAGCTAGCGTCACTTTTACTTAAATTTTCTATGCGGGTTCAGCCGAACCTAGTCATTTTTACTTAAATATTATATTTATATTAGGAAATTTATTAAATATATATAAAAATTTAATTACAAACTCAATAACTAAGACGAGCTATGGATTCTGTGGTAAATTCAGAACCTATAAAATTCAAATTCTGATTCCGCCTCTGATTGTCTTCTATCCCCTTACCCCGGCACACGCCCGATCCCCCATCCCCCGTCTCCCATGCACACTCCCTGACCTCATCTGACTCCTCATTGCCAACCCCTCCCCCAGCCTACACCTTACTTTTCATAGTGTTTGCTTAGATTATATATGAATATTTTTGAAATAATATTATCTGTTTGTTTACCAAACGTCATAAAATAAATAAGAAAATTACACTTATTTTAGAGGAAAATATTTTGTGCATAAAACATTTTACTTCGAATCAAACACACCGTAAAGTTTGACTTTTAAATTGCTAAAAATACCCTAAATTACCACTTGGCCTAGGGTAGTAGACCAAAAAAAAAAAAAGTCGAAAAGCTGGCAAACAAAGTTTTGACAAATCAAACTAAAGTACTAGAATTTCTATGGACAACTCCACGAGCTTAATCAAGTCAATGTACAGTGTTCAAGTCTTTGCCCTTGTCTGATCTGTGCAATATCTTTAGGTACTGTACCCCTCAAATCTTTAAATCTTGATTTTATGTCATTCACAAAGTTCCAATCTTTTTACTCTATAAAACCCCAAATTCTTGATTTTGTAAAATCTTGAAGAAATGAACTCCAAAAATTCAATCTTGATATATGGGAGGTTGTTTTAGCTAGAAGTATACCCAGCAATCTTGAATCTTGATTTGTGTCATTCACAAAGTTACAATCTGTTACTCTGTAAAACCCCCCAAGTTCTTGATTTCTTGAGGAATTAAAGTCCAAAAATTCAATCTTGCTCACATAAACCGTAGAAATGGGTGGTTGTTTTAGCAAGAAGTATAGACAAGAAGGTGCTAATGGGGGGTATATGGCAACAAGAAGAAATGTTAATCAAGAATATCAAAAGCCACCACAACATCAACCAGAAAGGCCATATCAGCCACAGCCACAGCCACAACCTCAGCCTCAGCCACAGCCACAAGCACATACTGTTACCGTGCAGCCGATACAAACCCAAGACCAAATGCAAGGACCTCATTTGAATAACATATTAGGAAAGCCTTTTGAAGATATTAGGAAGCAATATACACTTGGGAAAGAATTAGGTAGGGGTCAGTTTGGAGTGACATATCATTGCACCGAGAATTCGACGGGGAACCCTTATGCTTGTAAGTCTATATTGAAAAGGAAGCTTGTGAGTAAGAATGATAGGGAGGATATGAAGAGGGAAATTCAAATTATGCAGCATTTAAGTGGCCAGCCAAATATCGTGGAATTTAAAGGCGCATATGAGGATAGGCATTCGGTGCACCTCGTGATGGAACTTTGTGCTGGAGGAGAGTTGTTTGATAGGATTATTGCTCGGGGATATTATTCGGAGAAGGATGCTGCTGAGATTATTAGACAGATTGTAAATGTTGTTAACATTTGCCATTTCATGGGTGTTATGCATAGGGATCTTAAGCCAGAGAATTTCTTACTGACTAGTAAGGATGAAAATGCAAAGCTCAAGGCAACCGATTTTGGACTTTCTGTCTTCATTGAAGAAGGTCAGTTTCTTGCCCCTCGAGATTAATTACATTATAGCTGAGTTTTTTAGAATAAACTTTTGTGTCTGTTAATATTATGTTATCTTTTTATATTTTCATGACTTTTATTGCTTGAACGTGCCTCTCAATGCATGATGACAAGAACGTTTTTACTAGGACACTAACAGTAGTATCTATCTTCAAAAAGTAAAGATATGATTGGGGTAGAGTATAAAGATGCCCTCGTTGGTTAAGCAAATCTTTGTTGAAGATCCACCCATGGGTGTGGCCTAGTGGTCAACGAAGTGGGTTGAGAACCATGAGGTCTCAGATTCAAATCCTAGCGGATGCAAAAACAGTAGGTGATTTCTTCCCATATGTCCAAGCCTTGGTGCACAGAGTTACCTGATACCTGTTGTTAGTGGGAAGTAGCATGTATTCCATGGAAGTAGTCGAGGTGCGCACAAGCTGACCCGGACACCACGGTCATAAATTTTTTTTTTGTTGAAGACCTATTCTCAATTGTTAGCTAAACAAGAATTACATCGGTCCGTCCAATCAAGCAAGTTCTCAATGATTACCATCAAAGCAAGAAGTATTGCCTATAGACTATCAAAAGAGTTAGGCGAGCTGTAATTTCCATATCCAGTGCTGCAGTTGCTATCGTAGTTCCAATTACCTAAGATGGCTTTTATGCTGTATTCATGACTCAATCTAGTGTCCTAAACCCGAACTTTTATCTTGCTGTCATCTGTGGGTAGTGAAAGTGAGCAGTGAAACTCTTTGACCGAGAGTGCAAGTTACTGTTAGAGCATCTCTCATCACTGATCAATCCTGTTTCCAGGTGAAGCAATGTGTTAGTTACAAGATTGCCAAAGTGTCTGCATAGTGCATTTGTTCAAGTGATTCATTTACTGGAGAGATAAGTTTGTTGATGTGTACCGAAGGCACTTGATTAGTGAAATATCTCAAGACTTACTTTACTTCCGGCAGGATTGCCTTTGAAGGGTTTAAGTATCTCCAAGAACAGGACAGTCGAACAAAAATACTACTCGTCGATTAAGTGTTATAGTTGTCAGGATGGATCCACTATGTATCAAACAAAAATGAAACAGAGTACCTTCGTTTTTGTTTCATGCTTTTTTTCTCTTTTGTCTGATAGGTATACTTTACAGCACATCCTCTTCTCTTGTGATCTAAGTTTCTCTAGGTGCTCTGTAGTATTGCTGATTTTCACGAACTACTAACATGCATCCCCATTCAATATAGCACATTTGTTCTTAACGCTTTTATTTCATGTGCAGTCTTGTCACTTGTGCCACTATTTGAGTATTTACACATAGATCATTTCCACAATATAAATCATATTGTTATTTACTCCTATTTACATAACTATTCTAACACTCCCCCTCAAGCTGGTGCATATAAATCATATGTACCGAGCTTGTTACATATGTAGTTAATACGAGGACCAGTGAGGGACTTGGTGAAAATATCTGCAAGCTGATCATTCGACTTCACAAACTTTGTAGCAATATCTCCCGAGAGTATCTTTTCTCTGACAAAGTGACAGTCAATATCAATGTGTTTACTTCTCTCATGAACACTGGATTTGACGCAATATGAAGAGCAGCTTGATTATCACACACAAGTCCCATCTGACTAATCTCACCAAGTTTCAACTTCTTGAGCAACTGTTTGATCCAAATTAGCTCACATGTCGCCATAGCCATCGCTCGATATTCTGCTTCTGCATGACTCTCAATACTACGAGGAAAGGAGGCTCGGGTATGTTTCCCGAGCTGACATGACTCACACTCTAATGTAGACAAACTAGACAAACTAGGCACCATCTTCTGAAGCTTGGATAAGCTTGGATGTCCTAAACGTCTGTGAATTAGGTCCGGAGGATCTGTAACTAGACATGCCTTGGAGGAATTTAGTGAGTTAAGGTAGTAAAGGCCTTCTGATTCAAGTCCTGTTCCAATCGTCTGCCCGTACTGCGGTCCTGCATAATAAAAGAATCATCAATAAAATATATACCACAATGGAGGGCACGAGTCAAACGACTAACAAATGCAAGATTAAAAGGACAGCCAGGGACATAGAGAACTGAATCTAGAGTGACAGAGGGTAGGGGATTCGCTTGTCCAACTCCTTTTGCTTTGGTTTGAGACCCATTGGCTAAAGTAACGGTGGGAAGAGACTGTGAATACGCAATATTTGACAAAAGTGATTTATTACCAGAGATATGATCAGAAGCGGCTGAGTCCACAACCCATTGTCCAGGAGGACTAGACTGGGAAACACAAGCAAAAGAATTACCAGCAACAGAAGTATCAGTCTGAGCAACAGAGGCTACTTGTGGAGATGTCTGCTTACTTGCTCGATACTGAAGGAACTCATTATACTCCCCTTCAGATAAAGAAAATCCATGGTTACCTGTAGTCTCAGTCTGAGCAACATAAGCATTTTGGGTGGGCGACCATGTAAAGAATAGCACACATCACGAGTGTATCCAAGTTTATGACAATAAGAGCACTTGGGTCTAGATCTTCCAAAACGACCTCCTCCTCGTCTATTCTCCATAGTATGAGATGCCCGATTGTCCACTGACTGGGATACGAGGACAGATGAGTCAAGTGTCTGTGATGAGCTCACTGGGTGACTTGGTGCTGCAGCAAGGCGAAGTAATCGAGAGAATAATTCATCAACTGTGGGGACAGTCGGACTAGCCAAAATCTGGTCACGTACTGAATCAAGGTCATTAGGGAGTCCAGCGAGTGTAAGAACTAGAAACATATCCTGTCGTTGCTCTTGTTGCTTTTCAATACTAGCAGAAACTGGCATTAACGTCTCAAATTCTTCCATGACTGCCTGTACTTGTCCCAAGTAAGTAGACATCCAATTCCTGTTTCTTCAAGCTTGTCATTCGCGATATTACATCATAGAAACGAGATATGTCATTAGTGTATAAAGTACGAGCCTTTCCCAAACTAAATAACATGTCTGAAATGGACGGAACAAGGGCATCAACTTGGAATCAATAGATCGCCACAAGATACTACATAACTGAGCATCGACCTTCTCCCACAGTGTTTTGGCCTTTTCATCACCTTCGCTAGCCTTTTTTGTTAAATGATCTTGAACTCCTTGACCTTTACACCACAACTCGACAGACGAAGCCCAAGCTAAGTAGTTTGAACCTCCCATTAAAGGTTCTGAGGTAATCATAACACCGGAACTGCCAGAACCCGGGTTTTTAGACCCGAAAGCATCGACTCCCAAAGACATGGTTGGATTATCACCGAATAACAGAAAGAATCAACTGACAACTTGCTGAAACAGATGAAGGGAACACTATTTTTGCCGGAAAGTTACTGTAGCTGCCGGAAAAAATCAGTGTAGTCGCCGGAAAAATTCAAAGTGGTCGGAATCAAACGAAAACAGTATGGGTGGGGTCGGAATTGGTACACGACCCAACTGTTCTGAAGAAATTTTCTCAAAAAATGGCCGGAAGGTGGTGCACGTGCCAGGTGGCGCGTGGGAGCGCGTGGGGCTGCTGTTGCCGGAGATTTTTCTGGGGTTTGGTCGCCGGACAGTGGCGACTCTTGTGGTAGTGTTGGATTTTGCACAACATTGACAGAGACAACGCAGATGAAAACAGGTTTGAAAAAGTCGCCGGAAAAAGGCTTCCGGTGACTGATTTCTCTTCCCGGAATCGCTGGAATTTATGCACAGCGATAAATCTCTCACAATTGCTCTGATACCATGTGAGAAAGAATGGGAGAAAATATTATTGACATATATTTAAACACGATACAATGAGCCCTATATATATATACATAACATGTCCTACTCCTAATACATATGGGATTAGGGTTATTTACTCCTATTTACATAACTATTCTAACACTTTTGTTTCCTCCACCGTTCTTTTAAGGATCTACATTAGATGAACTTATGTTTCATTTATAAATTTCAGGGAAGGTGTACCGTGATATAGTTGGTAGTGCATATTATGTTGCCCCTGAAGTATTGCGGCGTAGTTATGGGAAGGAAGCAGATGTATGGAGTGCAGGTGTTATTTTGTATATTCTACTCAGTGGCGTGCCTCCATTTTGGGCTGGTAAGGACGGCGATCAAAGTTTAACAAGATGGTGTACTTACTGTTATTTGCTCTACTTATCTGTTAATGTCTCTTGCCAAATCCTTTGCAGAAACTGAAAAGGGAATATTTAATGCCATACTAAAAGGAGAAATTGACTTTCAAAGTGATCCATGGCCATCCATATCAAATAGTGCCAAGGACCTTGTAAGAAAAATGCTGACGCAGGAGCCAAGGAAGAGAATGACTTCAGCACAAGTTCTTGGTATTTCTCTCTTTTCCCCTTTGTGTAATCAAAAGTTACTGCTGTGATTTCTTCTCTTTCTGCCGTTGTACGTTACATCCATATTTCTTTCAATGTAATAGGGTTAATTCATGTTTAAAGTTTCTTATGCATTTAGTAGTTTATCTTATCAGTATAAGTTGCAGTCCTCTTCCAGTTGACTTTGACCAGAACAGACATTGATGAAATCACTGTCTTGACTATAGCAGAGCTAAATACATTATCATTCTTCGTGTAATATGGCTTGTCTCTTGGTGTTAACTTTGGATATATTATGGATCTGCTTCACTAACAAACACAGTGATCTGGTGAAGGCATTTATCCAAGAGAGCGGTTTGATTATGAATACGTCACACATAGAATTGATAAGATGACTGAAATGGAGTTCTTTGGGCTTGGAAGATTTACACCAAAATTAAAGACAAGTTTTATAGAACAATGGTGTGACTAGCTATGTTTTATAGGACTGTAACTTATCTACAACATGAGTTCACAGAAATGTGGGTGTTAAAATAGATGTGTGGTGATACAGTTCTAGACAAGATTAGAAATAATCACATCACGCTGAGAGTGCAAGTAGTATACATAGAGGATAAGATGAGAGAAAGTCGCCTTAGATGATTTGGTCATGTTATACATAGACCTCCACATGCATTATTCAACACTAAAATGCTGAAAAGATGAAAAAGAGTAGTTTTTTTATATGGTTCAGTAGAAAAGAACCCCAATAATATAGTACACATTGGAAGAAAATTAGGAATATGGGTCCATATAAGAAATCTTTAGATCGGTGAATCCATATAAAAATAAGAAAGGGCACAATCGGAGTTCTTTTCGGCAAAGGGTGCAAGCCCATTCTGAGACTCAACCCTCTACATAAAGTATTAATACACGGAATATGCCAATATATCTACACAATTTTCACATCTTTCTACATTCATTAAATTGCGTAAAGCTCTTCTTTTGGTATCTTCTATTGATTACGAACTAGGAATCATACCTCGCTCTTCCTTTGTTTTTGATCTTGGTAACTAGAGCATCATAATAAAGCAAGTTCTCTCTTTCAGTTTTGCTTTTTTTTTTTTTCCACATAAACTTTCTGTATAAGCACATATCTGTCATAGTGTGAGGGACTGAGGGGTAGAAGAGATCAATGAAAGACCAGAGAGCAAGCTACCTGATCAACCGACAAGTTCTCGAATTCTCATTCGCGAAGGCAAACATAGACTCATAAAACACTTGAGGTCTAAAAGAGGACAAGGTAAAACTAAAAATCACATGGAGGGAGGTTATCTCAAAATATCTACAGTCTCCCATAATCAATGCGAGTTTAGCTATCAACAGAATACTATAAAAGTAAAAGATTCATATAGGATATACGCCTATACCTACTGGTTTCAACTAAGGTTTAATTAGTTGTTACAATTAGAGTAGCCTTTTAAGTATGGGTAGAGATTTGTATGCTAGTGTAGGCATAAATTGAGATTTAGAGAACCTCAAGTTTTAAACGGTTTCTAGTTTGGTTTCAGAAACAAATTATCTTTAAGCAAAGTACTAGTCTTAGACCGAATATAGTGGAATGCTCATCGATGATTCATATAGTGGACCTCAACTTTGTTCCACTGAGACTTGAATTATTTTGATATTGCATCTTTGGTCTTCGTGAGACAATAATTGATTTCTTCCAACTTATAGGTTAATGATCAATTGATAAAGAAACAATTTTTTTACGAAAACAACTAATAGGCAATTACTTGTTAATTCAAAATTAAAGAAATAATGAGATGTGCAGGGGGGTGGGGTTCAAAAGTGGGAAGGTGAAGAGGGATAAGAAGTTGGGGTTTTTACCTTTATGCCCTCTTGGTGGCTTACATATGCTCTATCTCCTCATCCCTTGGATTTGCGGATCTTCTTATATGGTGTTGGGGAGGTGAGGGGTAGCAAAATATCTACCTGTTATTCGAGGTTGCAGAAATCAAAAGGGGAGGGGAGAAGAGCTAAGGGGTACTTATCAGGAACTATCTGACATCAACCACACACGATAGAATTTTATCCCCAAAATTCCTCACTATTGGCCAATCAACCACCACATTTAATGCCTTCACTTTGCCTTGTATAACTTTGTCCAACCAATGTGAGTGGACATCACTAAGCATGTACAAACTTTGTATAGTTTCAACCTACTTGTATAACACACAACTAATTCTTCCAAGAATCTGAATTCACTAATTAGATTTCTCATGCGTTAATTTCTGAGAATCCATCATGAAACCAAGACCTGGGACTCTCAAAGTAATCTTCCACTCAATACCTATACTTTCTTGTTTATCTTTTTTTTTGGGGATGGGGGTGGGGTGGGGAGTGGGGGTTGACCATCATGAGGGAATCTCTATGAATGGTGAAATAAAAGCTTCTGGGCAAAATGGTGGCCAGTATGGAGAATTGCCCTTGCTCGGTTTTAAGTGGATCGGGGATTATGGTACCACCGGAAGATCAATAGCTTTGTTGTTATGGAGAATTGCCCTCGCTCGGTTTTAAGTGGATCGGGGATTATGGTACCACCGGAAGATGAATAGCTTTGTTGTTTCAACTTTGACTTATGACAGCTATGGACATATTTAAAGTGGAAGAAACTGAAGATTGAGCGAATATACTACTTTCCATTTATCAAATATACTTCATAGTAAACCTCTCTGTTTTGGTCCTTTGTTGGCATTTTGTAACATAGAATGGGCATTTGATGGATTTCAATGCTGAGTTTTCATTTCTTTTCAAGATTTCGTGCTTCTGTTGCATCACTAGCAGCTGAAATTCTTGTCTCTTCTGCTTCCTTTTTTGGGTATAATGAAAGGTGTCAGTACATAACATTGAGTTCCCTATGCACGGCGTCTCATTCACGGTCTCTCTCTCTCTCTCTCTCTCCGTCTGTCTCTCTCTCTCTCTTTGATATTGGTGGTGTTTGGGGCAACTTGCATGCACCTTGATTTTCCATTGTATACCTGCATGGGAAAAGCTAACCTGGCTTTGTGCATGCACCAAACCATATTTATTTACCATATTTAAAAGATAAATTGAGTTAAGAATACATATAAAAAAGCACAATTAAGTGATAACCTTGTGTAAAAGACTCATATCATGCACTTATTGCTTTGGTCCATGCAGTGGATGTGGGTAAGTACCTACATCCTCCCATCAATACAAAAACGGGATAACACTATCCTCTATGGTTTAGACAGGTGGGAAGAGATCACTCAACTTTTTCTTTTTTTGCCTCTATTGGAATTTGATCCTGGTCTCGCATGGTCTTTGTTCCACCTTCATCGACCGCTAACAACCACACCTTTGGGAAACCCCCCCCCCCCCTCTCTCTCCAGTTTGCTTCCCCAGGTTCTTAAGTCTTTGACTGAAAGCAAGGGGCATTGCTTGCTTGCAGCTTTTTTTTTTTCTTAATTTTTTTTTAATATGTTGCATTAAAGTTCTGTGTGCTTGTGTAATACTTAGCACTCATCGTGCTTGTTTCTACAGAACATCCATGGCTTCGAATGGGAGAAGCATCAGACAAGCCAATAGACAGTGCAGTGCTGTCCAGAATGAAACAGTTCAGAGCAATGAACAAGCTCAAGAAACTTGCATTGAAGGTACAAACTAATATTGCATTATCATTTTGGCACAGCAGGTGATTTTAGTATTTCTGAGTATACTGTTAATGAGGATCGTTGACTATCATTACTGGTTCTTCAGTAGCAAAAGTGATGTGGGATATGCTGTACGTACTCATATTATCTAGAAGATGTAGCATTTTCTATGCACTTGATGTTGGAAGTAGAACTATATCATGCTAATACTGCGTCTTCTCTAGTAAGGTATTACACAATGGGTATATGTTTGCTCAACCACATGAGAAATTTTCTTTTAATTTCTAAAAGAAAAAAACTATATGAGAAATTCTTCTAATACAACAACCGCCCAGTAAAATCCCACAAGTGGGGTCTGGGGAAGTGGGGTCTGGGGAGGGTAGTGTGTACACAAAACTTACCCCAAAGGAATCAAAGATATGAGAATTCAGAACCAGAGTCTGTTGATGAAGTGGCTATGGAGATTTGCGGCTGAGGAGCAAACACTGTGGAGAGAGGTAGTTAGGGAGAAATATGGAATGGAAGGAAAATGGACAACCAAACCAGTGAGAAGTCCATATAGTGTCAGTGTATGGAAATCAATTAGGAACTTGTGGCCAAAAGTGAGTGACAAGGTTTAGTTCAAAGTTTGGAATGTTAGGAAAATTTCCTGTGGGAAGACAACTGGCTAGGCCAAGGCCCTTTGAAGCTACTCTTTCCTGACATATAAACCTTGAACCAACAACAACAAGCAACTTTAGATGAGGTATGGACTAATCAAGGTTGGAACCTTACATTCAGAAGACTTCTAAATGATTGGGAAATTGACAGAGTAATTGAGTTTTACAAGACCCTGGAGCTATTCACTGGAACCAACTCTAATCAAGATCTCATCACATGGCAAGGGAACGGGCAGGAGAAAAGTCTGCATATAAGGAATTCAACCTGTCAAACAACCAGGTTGGTTGTTAGCCATGGAAGATGATATGGAAAGTGAAAATCCCCTATAAGGTTGCTTGCTTTTCATGGCTACTAGCAAAGGAAGCGGTTCTAACTCAAGGTAATCTAAGTAAAAGAGGATTTCACTTGTGTTCTAGATGTTACTTGTGTGGAGAGGAGGCAGAGACAATTAGTCATCTCTTTTTGCATTGCAAATTCACTGTACAAATACGGAGAATCTTTATTAGCTTAAAAGGAATTGTATGGGCAATGCCAGGAAGAATTCTTGATGTTCTAGCATGCTGGAATAAAGAGGGCAATCTTTCTAGCTATAAAGAGAGATGGAGCATTGTCCCAGCCTGCATTTGGTGGACAATCTGGGAAGACAGAAAGCAGAGATGTTTTGAAGACAAGTCCAGTAACATCCAGAAGACAAAGATGAAGCGTCTAGCTCTTTTCTATTTTTGGTCTAAAGGAAAGTCTTTAGAGGATCATGAATCCATTTTTGATGTTCTAGATTCCTTGTGAGGAGACCAAGGATCATAGGTGCTTTTCTTTCTTTTTTGGGCTCTCCTATGTAATTATGGGTGTCTTCACAAATTTAGTGAAGACTATATATCAATATACAAATATGTTACCTTCTCAAAAAAAAAAAAAAAAACTTACCCCTACCCTGGAGGAATAGAGAGGCGGTTTCCGCTAGACCCTCGGCTCAAGAAGACGAAAAGAGACTAGACAGGAGCCAGAAAGATAATACCAGCATTGTAAGAACTAGAAAACAAATGGAAAAGCAGTAACAATAACAAGTAACAATGGCACGGCACTATGAAAATGGAAAAATGAGAAATTCTTCTAATATCACCTTATTTTTCCCTTCACAAGGTGTTTCATATGGTTGAATAAGGTATTAATTGATGTTCATTTCCATTCACAAGATGTCTTCATATTAGTAGATTGACTTTCATTTAGCAAAGTGTATGAATTATAGTTGCTGCATTAGACTAACGTGTACTTGATTTCTAACAAGTCAAAGCAAGATGTTGATATCAGCATTTATATTCCAATTACAACCTCTTGATATTCTGTTACATTTGTAATTTTCCAGGTAATTGCGGAAAATTTATCTGAAGAAGAAATCAAGGGTCTGAAAGCTATGTTTGCGAACATTGATACAGACAATAGTGGCACAATCACTTATGAAGAATTGAAGTCGGGATTGGCTCGGCTTGGATCAAAGCTAACGGAGACTGAAGTCAAGCAACTCATGGAAGCTGTAAGTATGATGCCTTTGACTAGATTTAACTTTGTTTTTAATCTTATCTGCTGACTGAATAAGTACTTGTTTTCCATATAAATGATCGACGTTCAGGCTGATGTGGACGGAAATGGAACAATCGACTACATCGAGTTTATTACTGCAACAATGCATAGACATCGGCTTGAAAGGGATGAGCATCTCTTTAAAGCTTTTCAGTATTTCGACAAGGACCATAGTGGGTAAGTCCATAAAATTGATTAAGACTTCTGTTCTTCTGACTTCCATAACTTGGTGACTATAACATACATACCACATGACAATCTAGATAAATAAGGATAATTATTTTCAGAAGCAAAAGAAAAACCTAATTTTCTCCTTGTTACTATTCATATCTTATATTATAACATCGTGACATATCCCTTTATTGCGGTTTATGGATAGATCGTGGCATCAACAGGGTTTAAAATAATAAAATGGTAGGGGCTTGCAAGTGATTACTTTTGCTGCTAGACCACTAGGATATTGAGAGGAAAACCTCCTAAGCCATCTAATTGTTTAAGGCAAAATACCTTAAAACCTAAGTTGCTCGGACTCGGGTGCGGGTATCCGATACTGGGATTTGAATCTGAGGCCGTATTACTCCTTACTCCAGAATTAGATAGACCCTCATAGTGTTTAACATATGGTAGTTGCATCAAGAAACCGTCCTGAGCATGAACAACTAAGGTGAATCATTTTTAAATTCAGCAGCATTATGATCTATAAGATCAAGAACTAAAGTCGATTTCGAGACATCCTCCTGACTTTAAATTGAATCTTTGTAATGGAATATATAACATATTGATCTCCCTCTGGCTGTTTCTACACTTGGCTATTTTGGAAGCTTTCTATGCTTTCTGAAAGCATGTACTTGGAGTTGGAGGCTACAGTATATAAGTTGAATTTAAGTCTCACGATTTCTCGTTCTTTTTCTAACATATTCATTTTCTTTTCGTTGTTAATGTTATTCAGCTTTATCACGAGAGATGAACTGGAAAGCGCCATGAAGGAGTACGGCATGGGCGATGAGGCGACCATAAAGGAAATAATTGCAGAGGTGGACACTGACAATGTAAGTGATCTTAAAAACCGAAGCGCTTGACGTTGAAACACTAACGTGATAATTTCATACTGACTCTTCCAAATGAACAGGACGGTAGGATCAACTATGAGGAGTTTTGTGCTATGATGAGAAGTGGAACACAACCACAGCCGAAGCTTTTCTAGTCATTGACAAAAATGCCCTCGATAGCAGAGATGTTCAGCAGTCAGCACGATAGAAAGGCGTCTACGCTGAGAAGAGCACTACAGAAAAGAGAGATGAAGTATAAGGAGGCATTTTGGTTGTAGGTTGAGTTTAAATGCAGAATGTGTGAATAGTTAAGTTAATGGTAATATTTACACTTTCCCTGTAATGTATCTGATCCCCTTTGTAATTTTGTGTGGATCACATTGTCATGTTAACAGATTACAACAGGGCAATCTGGAATTAGCATTGTGCTTGAAAAAAGAGAAGACTGTTGACTTGACGTTACTGATGCCTTTAAGATGTTAATGGGAGGTTTTTCATATTTAACTATGCTAACTATCAAATAACAATTTGATGTCTATTTGATGTGCATAAGCTGACTCAGACGCCACGGTTTAAAAAAAACTAATTTGGATGTTTTTTTTTTGTTGTTGTTTGTTGTGTGTGTGTGTGGGTGGGGTGGGGGTGGGGGGTTTCTGCCCATGATCATGAACCTTATATTGAACCAATCAACCACGACCAATTAATTTATTATGTCAAGCTAATTAAGGCTGTCTTATTAAACAGTGTACAAACAAGATAGAAAGCTCATTTCTATCAGCACAATCAAACCAATGTGAGGTTTTTGTTGTTTTAATATGAGGGAGACAACGAGACCCCTTCTCCGTCGAAAGAAATGGGATTATTGTGGATACATACATTAAAAATATTAACCAAATTTACCCCATGTAGAGGCAATCAAGAAAGCCGCATAAAAGTTAATCGCGTTAAGGATTCCAATCTTTTGTTTTCATAGACGACATTTTATTTTTGAAAGAATTACAAGAAAATACGCATGACTTTACACCATAACAAAAAATGCCCCATGTTTTTAAGTTTTACCCGACCTAGCCCATATTGTACATATTTTGAAAACAATAGCTCTTGCAAATTCAAAATCTGTATTTTTACAACCATTACTTCTAAAAGCTATGGAGTTAAATTTGTGTTCTCACAACCATTGCCTTCACTCTCTCTTCTTCTCACATCTTTTACATATGCTTCAAGGAGCCGTCCGCATTAGTGCTTCCCCCCCCCCCCCCCCCAGGTCACCTGGTTGCAATGTAATTGAAGAGTAGAAGCTTCTCAATAGGACTTTTTGAGTTTGTTAGTTATTTGGATTGGGTGTTGTTCCAATTGATTGAAAATATCAAAAGGAGTTCAAAATTTAAGTTTGAAGTGATTTGGAGTAGATTTGAGTTAAGTTTCAGAAAAGATGCAAGGAAAAAAACGAAGTCAGTTTTTGTATAATTATGTATAATCTTGTATAATAGTGTATATGAGTGTATAAACACATCTTATACACTATTATACACTTTTATACACCTTTATAGAAGCTTCTGTAGACGAACTTCTTCAACGATTTTCAGTTGCAATTCTTGTTCAAAACCAATCCAAATCTCCATTAATGACTTCAAATTTTATATACAACCTCCTTATACTATTTCTAACAAGTCTAAATAACACCTACTCCAAATTTCTCACAAATCAAAATTGGAATTTAAACCCACATATTTAAGCATGTTAAAAATCTAATTTTCACCACCCAAATGGATTTGGTTTGTTGAACTAATATTTGATTCACAATTACTGATTTGAAAATTAACTTAAAAGCTTGAGCATTTTTTTTAAAAATAAAATATTCCCTATGTTCCAATTTATGTGAACCTATTTCCTTTTTAGTCCGTTCCAAAAAGAATGAACCCTTTCTAAATTTGGTAACAATTTAGCTTAAATTTACAATTCTACTCTTAATGAGAAGCTTTTATAAACACACAAATACTCTGGGCCCCTTTTTGACTTATTTAGGACCACAAATTTCAAAAGTCTTCATTTTTTCTTAAACTTCGTGCCCAGTCAAACAGGTTCACATAAATTGGAACGGAGGGAGTAGTAATTTTGAGAATCTATTGGAGTTGGATGTTGAATCTTAGCCTATTATTTTTGGGCTAATTGATTGTAAATTGAAATATGTGCTATAAAATTGAAAAGTATGGAGCCCAGTTGTTCTTAGGCGAAATTTTCCCTTTATTTTTTGATTTTCATGGGGTGTTTGGTACTCACTTTGAGCTCAACCTAATCTAAATTCTTGCAGGAAAGTTCAAATTTGGGGTGTAAAGTACTCCCTATCGAATACCACTTTATTCCTAGGGCTCAAACCCAAGACCTCTGGTTAAGGATGGAAAGATACTTACCGTTCTACCATAATCTTTTGATAGTTGTTGCGACTTGTTGCAGTTGCCTCAAAAATTGCAATGTTGTTGCTGTCAATAAAATCAGGAGCTTAGTTAGGCTGTAGAAGTTGAGGAATACACACCAGATTGTGTTGACTCTCTTGCAGATATTTAGGATTATTTTTTCTTTTTGAAAGTTTGTTAGTTATCTTCAAGTTCTGTTCCTCCTTTTTTAGTTAGCAGTAGAGTTGTTTAACATATTTTTAGCAGTATTTTATTGACAGTCAGTTCCTGACTTTGTGTATTTGAGCAAGCTTTCATGATCAATAAAAATACTGATCTTTCAAGTCACTTTACTGCTCTTTTCTGTCAATAGCATTAACAGTGGTATCAGAGCTTTTTAAATCTTACAAATCTTTATTCGAGTTCTTACTAAAACTTTGTGGAATTAAAAAAAATCCTAAGAAAAATTGTAAATCAAGTAGGAGAAAAAAACACTTTCTTTTTTATCCTTAAATATGAGATAGAAGATGAAAAAGTGGAACAAAAAACCATCCAACACATGAACCAGAACTATTAAAATAAGAATGGTATTAAAGGGTCACTTTGCTCTTCTTAATAATTCTGGCCAATTGATCTAAATCTGTGCTTTTACTCATTAGAGGGAATTTAAAGTTGTGACTAAGGATTCCTTTCTTTTCCATAAATGGGGTATTCGCTTTGACAAATCATAGAGTTGATCGAGTGCTTCTATTTTGAAGGTGAATTTCGAGTTTAAACTTAGGCCTCATTTGTTTTTTTTTTTTTTAAGATTAAGATGTCTGAATCTGAATACACATCTGAATATTAAGGTGTGCATTAAGAGTAAGACATTTGAATCTGAATATATTAAGATGTGATTAATATCTGAATAGAAATAATTAAGACTGTTTGATTTTTAACATCTGAATGTATAAAATTTATCTTTATTTGAAAATTAATAAACATAAAATTCAAATAAAATACTAACTAATCTAATATTCTATCAATAAAATATATAGTTCTTTTATAATATGATAGTTGTTGGTGATGATGGCTAACAGGTGAATGCCGACTAGAGACAGTGGTTGGTGGTAGTTTTGGTTGATGATGGTGGTTCATGCTAGTAGCTAGTACTGATTGGTAGTGGTGGAGATAATGATTGAGGATGGTGCTGGTGGGTGGTGATAGTTAATAATGGCGGGTGGTGGTAGTAGTTGTGACTGAGGAAGGTGGTGGATGGGTGATGGTAGGTTATAATGATGGGCAGAGCCGACTGTGGTTGTTGATGGTGATGGGGTGGTCAGTTGTGGTAGTTGAGGCGGATAAGAGTTGATTGTGGGTGAGAATGATATATATATGGTGGTCGAAGTGGTGGAGATAGTGGGCGGTGATGATCGATAATGGTGACAGCTATGATTGAGGATGATGGTGGCGTGGTGGTGGTGGTGGTGGTTGAGTATGGTAGTGATGGCATGGTGGTAGTTGATAATGGTAGGCAGTGACGACAGTTAATAATGAATATGTGATAGCATCTTAATGAAATTAAGTCTCTGTTATAGATCTTAATCATACAGACCTATTCAGACCCATTAAGTGATTGTGAAGTAAAAAAAAAACAAACACACTTAATGATTAAGATCTGAATAATCAAGATTCAGACTTCAAAAACAAACGCACTTAATGTCTGAGATCTGAATGATTAAGATTCAGACCTCCATTAAGTGCAAACAAATGAGACCTTAATGGATTTGACCTTTATGGGTTCGTTGCATTTAGAATTAGTAAATTCAGATTTAAATTTATTGAAATTGTAATAAATTTTTACGGACACACATATTTATTTATTTATGCTCTTGATCGAAAATAGTTCAGGCTTATACTTAGATTTTTATTACTACATGTTGTTTCTTTCGTTTCGGTTTTCTTATCATCTTATCTTATTGTTGTCACTGTTTATTGATATCGCTTCCTTTTTCATCTTTCCTTGGCTCGAGGGTCTATCGAAAATAACTTCTCTATTTTCACAAGATAGGAATACGGTAAGATCTGTACATACATTATCCTCTTCAGACCTCACGTATAAAATTACACTGTATTTCTTATTATTGTTGTTGTTGTTATTCGGTTGAAAATAGTCAAGTCGAATGAACCCGTTATCAAACAGCTGCATGCATTGCTTATAATGTACTTTATCTCTTTCCTTTAGCTTACATGGTTCAGAGTAAAACCTTTTCTTTTTCTGAAAAAGGAAGGGTGCACATAGCTGTCTTTATTTTAAAAGAATTAAGAAGATGGAATCCAAGGTTAAGTCTCATAATCTGCTGACACAAATTACAATATTGAAGAATGAAGACAACTCTAAGTTGCCATTGCACGTGAGGGTTAATATTCTATATATTTTGTAATTGTATCTTAATTAAGCATATTATATTCATGTGGACGTGTACACACCTTCTCCTTTTTGCCTCGGAAATAGACGCCATTGCTGCATTGGGTTCATATGCCATGACAATTAAATTTTAACCTTTAATAATGTTGTTTCTTGGAGTTTAATATGCAGAGGGAATAATAATAAAGTGTCTTGCGTTCGAATTATGGAAATAGAAAATCTTTCGCTAGGGTTTGTTTTATTCTTTTACTGAAGAATATCAGTATATACGATTTTGAACACCAAATGAGTAACAAAAAAAAGAATTGCTATAGAGAATGAACAAGGATAGAGTAAATCACCAAAAGACGTGGTAAAATTATAAATTTTGGCCATAAATTTTGGCAACTTGTTTCAAAAATTTTTTTTGAAAACATTGTTTGTTGTACTATGATTAATTCTTTAAAAAAAAAATTGAAAAAAAAAATTCAAATTCCCAAAAACTGGTTTAGGACAATTTTTGGGTAAAATTATTCTTCCAACTCACAAAACATCACCTTTTTTTTTCAAATAAAATGCATCTCTAAACACAAATTTCAATCTCCAAAAATTATTTTTTAACATAATTTTAATTTTTTTTTTAAATTTTAACCAAATTTATGTCAAAACACTAGCTAAGAAAAAAGGTCGACTTGTTTTGTGTCATAGGATTAAAGAACTCTGCTAGCATTTGCGTTAACAAGGCAAAACGTATAATAACAGCATAAGTAGCCTAGGATGCTCCTAATGTTTCGATTATTGAGAAACCACCCTCACTTTCTCCTTAACAGCTAAGCATATCTTTTTCTTTAATTTTTTAAGTAGTACTATTATTTTAATTTTTGTACCATAAGAATTTGTGTGCAGCTGACTAATTAATACTTGGGGTATTATTAATTCTAATCCGCGCCAGAAATTATTTATATTCGGTAGCCGAAAAAGTATATAAAATTTGTATAACTTTTGTATGTAACATACATAATAATAAATATATATTTTTTAGCTATTATTTATAAAGTAGCTATTCCTTAATATACTTTATATCGTCTTGTACAGTAAGAAAAAATCATGAATTCAACATTAAAGAACGAGAAGGCAAAAAAAAAAAAAAAAAAAAAAAAAAAAAAAAAAAAAAAAGAAGAACAACCCAAGAATTGTATGACGGAATCCTTAAGATATTCAGAAAACTAGCATGCTTATGTTCTTAGGATTTTTAGTTTCCATGTCTTAACTATTTCTATCATTTGTGATAGAAATTTTATTTCATTCATAAAAAGGACAGTCCAATACACTAAACTCCCGCTATATGTGGAGCCTGGGGAAGGATCTGACCATATATATATTGGATCGGATGTATGCGGTCTTGTCTTGTATTTCTTGAAGAGGCTGTTTTCACGGCTTGAACTCGTGACCTCGTGATCACTAAGCCGCACCTTTTATGTTCACTTAATTACATGTAACCAAAAAGTTTCCGTCGGCGTACAGTTTTGGTATAAAATAATTAACTTTGAGTAATGAAAAATATATGAGTGCGAAAAAAAAAGTTGTAATCATAATCGTTTTTACCTATTTGTTGAAATTTGAACAATGATAAACTTGAAACATAATCATATAATAGCATGAGTGACAATAATAAATACGTGGTAAAAAAAATTGTGAAACGGTCGGATGATACCACTAACTAATAAGAGTGTCACTGGCAGTGATTGCCGCTATGTGATAAGGAGGTCATAAGTTCAAGCCGTAAAACCAACCTCTTTGCAGAAATATAAGATAAGACTAGCACAATAGATTCAGCGTGGTTCAACTCTTTTTTTTGACCCTTCCATAGCAGGAACTTAGTACACAGTGCTACTCTCATTTTCACAGATATTACCACCAAACTTGATGCAGTTCAAGCTCTTGGCTATTTCCTTTTGCTTAACTCAAAGCACACTGCAATCTTTTCTGTGATTGAAGAATGTTAAAAAATAGCCAGAGTTTGGTCAGTGCTTCTGCATGTTGTACTGTTGAGCAAGAGGTGAAAGAAGAGAGTATAAATGTCATTGATGAGATTTCTGCTGAATTGCAAAGGGAGAGGCAGAAAAATAAAGAGCTCATGGACAGAATATCAGTTCTTGAATCTCAGATACAAGAAAATCATAAAGACTTCGAGCTCTCAAATGGAAAAGTATGATTGCTCAACTTGTTACATATTAGATATATGAATGTTATGTGATTAATATGCGCGGGGTCCGGAGAAGGGCCGGACCACAAGGTTTTATTGTACGCAGTCTTACCTTGCATTTCTGCAAGAGGTTGTTTCCAATTTTCCACGGCTCGGACCCGTGACCTCCTGGTCACATGGCAGTAACTTTACCAGTTGCGCTAAATTCACATGAATGTTATGTGATTCTCAAAAATAATAACTGCAACTGGTTTTCACTTGCCTTCTAATCATCTGTTTTGCCTGGAGTATATTGGTGCCTTTTAGTCTTTGTCTCTATTCATTTATTTTGGACTTTTTACGTGTTTTAGTGTAGTGGAAGCCTAGTTTACCTTAGATTATAGTAGCCTCTCTCTATTCTGTCGTGATTGATTATGCATGCTTACTTTCAGCCGAGGGTCTATCGGAAACAGTGGCGGACCCACATGTTAAGTTGAAGGGTCATCGACACCCGGAAACTTCGAGAAAAACTCCATATATACTTACAAATGTCTTCAAAAAATAGTCAGATATTAGCATAAGCCCCCGTACCAATCATTATGAGCAGTGATAAATTTATAGTGAGTGTCACGGTGCCCCTGCGACCGCCGAATCCTAGGTCCGCCTCTAATGGGAAACCTCTTTGCCTTCACAAGGTAGGGGTAAGGCTGTGTATGCATTACCCTTGCTAGACCCCACTTGTGGGATTATACTGGGTATGTTGTTGTCGTTGTTCTTGAAGACTTAATCTTGAATGAGGTGATTTCAAGTGTAAATAAAAGTTCAACCTTGAGTTTCCCTCTGAGCATGTTCAACATTTTGACACTTTCAGAATTTCAACATTGTTACGCGAAGTTGATAAGTAGAATTTTATACTGATATATTTATCTATGTATATGTGCAACTTCAGAGATTTATTCATACAACAGAACAGTTCTATTAGTGAAGATCTTCTTTTGAACTTTTTAATACATGTAAAAGTATGCAGTGTGTGCTCAAAGAAAACAAAATACATCTTCTGTTCGAATCATCTAATAAAGAGTAAATTTCTCATTTCATATACACTCCATGCTTATGTTATCTTTCCTGAGCCGAGAGTCTATTGGAAACAGTCTCTATATCTCCACAAGGTAGGGGTAAGGTTTATGTACATACTACCCTCCTCAGACCCCACTATGCGGGATTATATTGGGCATGTTGTTGTTGTTTTTGCCGATGTTACCTTTCTCTTAATCACAGTCCAGTTGTCAAAGTATGGGGGAAATGCACTTCAGAAAGCTCAAAAGACCAAAAATGGACTCAGAAGTGAAGGATCATACTGAAATCTTTAACAAAGATGTTAATACAGATCAAGAATGCCTAGTCAATTGGATGAACATAGATGATACTCAGTTTCTAAATTTAGAAAGATCCAAAGATGGCGATACAGCTGCAGATAATGACCCCGATGATAGTGAAGACATAGACGATGAAGAATCCGATGATAGTGGCACTTATAATAACAGTATAAATAGAGAAAATTTCAAGAACTCGCAAATCAAAGAGAAACTGAAAGAGGATCTTGGTGAAGCAAGTGATCCGCCGTTCAGAAGAAAGGGAAGTTCATTTTCACATAAAAAGTCTGTAAAGGTAGCTTTTTGTCCAAAGGAAGTAAAGAAAATACTTGAATCAAAAGAGCTTTCAGTGAAAAATGCTCAATCCCATACTATAAGAAAAATCTTAGTTTTTTCATCTCTTGGTATTAGGCATGGTTGTGAGGATATGTATGAATTAGACTTCAAGCATTTTAGCATTTTACACAAGGGAGAACAATATACAGATTCAAAGAATCCGGGGGTACGCTACCTGAATTCTTGTACCTATGACTAAATGGTTCTGTTTTGGTTTGAAGTTCAACTGAACTAATATGTTCTGTGTCAGGAGCACGTGTTATACGATAACCCTGGAGTTCGGATGAAGATATTCTATCCCAACAGACAGAATCCAAACTTGTGTCCTGTTAGAATACTTGAAGAGGAGAAGGTCATGCGTCCGTCTGATGTTAGCTGCCCGTCGTGCTTATTCCTATGCATCAAATATGGAGGAAAGACGAGAAATCTTCCTCTGAATGAGTAAGCAGCACTGCTTAAATACTTGATCTTGTATGCCTTGTTACAATAGTGCATAGAGATTGTGTTTTGCGTACTGACGGTGTAAAGAACTTGTACACTATTAGGTTAGTTGATCTACGACATCAGGTAACTCTTCATATCAGGCATGATATAGCAACCGGTTAAATTGCACTGATAGTATAAACATTCTTTACACTGTCAATGTATATAATAGTTAAACTACAAAGCGAGCAGAAAATTGGTTATAGCTAACTTAAAATTGATGCATTGTAATTCCAGATACGTCAGGCAGCGAATGGGAAGAAACAAGCTAAAATCGTTTGGCCCGGCCATATGTCGGATGGCAATGCTAGTCCATATTCGCAGCGGAAGCTTCTTTTTTAAGGCCATAGGAATTACACTTCTTTTCATGGCTGGTTTTCCTAATGACCTGGTTCAAAGAGAAACCAAATATAAGAACTTGGACCTCCTACAAAAGTATAACAGGTATTCTGCATTTTGTCTTGTACATTTTCAAGTAGCTTACATGTGACCAGGATGTCACAGTTTCAAGCCGTGGTAACAGCCGCTTGCAGAAATACAGAGTAAGGCTGCGTACAATAGACTCTTGTGATCCGGGCCTTCCTCGGACATCGCACATAGCTGGAGCTTAATGTACCAGGCTGTCCTTTTTTTACAATGTGTCTGGTGGCGGAGCCAGAATTTTCACTAAGGGGTATCAAAATATAAAAAAAATTGAAACACACGGAAAATCCAAGCTGATTCAACATATAATAATATATGCATAAAACAAAAAATTTCACCTAGCAGCACAATGTAATTTTCCGCGAGGGGCTGTCAGTTGACACCCCTTGGTTAAACGTGGCTCCACCACTGAATGTGACTTGGGAAAAGAGTTTTAAATCATCTCCACATTTGCAGGACAGATGAGGATGCAGAAAGAGAGGAGTTATTTCTATCACATACTGAACCTGATACTATTGTAAGAACTGCAACTCATCGTCAATTTTCTCCGGAATTTGTGGTAACTTTGCTGCAAAATAAAACTCAGTTACATCAAATTACTGAAGGGGAGCCTTGGCGTAACTGGTAAAGTTGCTGCCATGTGACCAAGAGGTCACGGGTTCAAGCCAGGGAAACAACCTCTTGCAAAAATGCAGCGTACAATAGACCCTTGTGGTCCGGCCCTTCCCCGGACCCCGTGCATAGCGGGAGCTTAGTGCACCGGGCTGGCCTTCTTACATCAAATTACTAGTAATTATTCTTACCGTAATGTTTCTTAAGTCATGTTACTGTTACAAGATATTACTAGGCAAGATATGTATTGTTTGTTACTTTAAAGTTAATCATCACCTGTCAATTTCCTTTAGTTTTGAGTTTTAACTTTCACATTTTAGACTAACTTCTGCTTGAATTATTCAAATTTTTCAGAATATTAGTCCCAATTCTCAACAGGGGAAGAAAGTATCAACGAAAACGAAAAGCAAGAGGGAAGCAATCTCTAAGAGCAAAACTTCAGAGAAAGCGACAATTATACATTCTGAACCTTCAAGTTCTGCACCTCCTACACCATCTGGATTAATGAATATATCAATACCATCATCTCAAGCACAAGCAGATATGTCAAAACCCGTATTAGCTAATATCGCGTCCAATATTCCCTACCATAACCAATGTGCATATCCTGTTCTTCCAATTTATCCACCAAATTCTGTTGTGCCTTTAGTATATTGGCCTCAACCTAATGTGTTCCCTACCTTTCCTTACCCCTCTTCATATAGATATATTGCCCCTGGAAGCTGCATTTCGATCAATCCATATTCGTACTATGGTCATTTGTATAGTAACCCTTTGAATCCAGAAACTTTAGGGACTGAGAAGCAAAATGGAAGATCAGATGATGCTCAAAGGGAGTCCAATAGTAGTACAAGCAGCACAGATTCAAGAGAGAAGTAAACGAACTTCTAGTGTCCAAGGTCATTTTTTGTCACGACCCAAGCCCCTTCTTCGGAAGCTTGCCAGCATAGAAGCCTGACTCGCCCTCATCAGCCAGCCCTCCGTCATGGGCGTCACATTTTTCTCCTTGGTATAATGTGGTTTGGTAGCAGGAATTTGTAGTCAAAACTCAGCGAGTAGCTTATTTTCAAATTTTAAATCAGGGCTTTAGCCTTTGGGAGTGAAACAATTTGCATAATGATCATAAAGCTTTATAATTTACTGATGCTACTGTGCATGTACTAACAGTTAAGAAAATGGACCTTCCGTCTAACTCAATCTCATAAGCTAACTCATGAGGCGAGGACTATCTAAGACCACGAGACGCCCCCTTTTTCAACCAATGTGGAAGTTCTCCATAGAATATATTTTCCTCGAAATATGTCCTACCAGATAATCATTTTTCCACTCTTTGGTTTGTGAGTATTAAAGTAGGGACTTACTGTAACAAGGTGGAAGATAGGATAACTTGGCTAAACCCACTTGCATCCAGGGTTAAAAAAACGATTTTGGAGCGCGCGCGCACAAACACACACACACACAAACAAACAAAAAAAAAATCTAGTCCACTGGTTAAGATTAGTTACTGATTTTTTTGTATAGTACATGTATCTACCTACCATTTACAGAAAAGAATCAAATACAGTTCCTAGCTAACTCTTCTTCTCCCTTTTCTCTTCTCGCTACGTCCTCGCATGATCTTTGGTCTTCCCTGAGCTGGACATAGAATTCTTGAGCTTACTCAATAGCTCCTGCAGTTTTGGCATCAAATTTTGCCCAGAATGATAAAATGGGTTTATCTGAACCGGTACTTCAGTTTCAACCTCAGCATCATCATAAGCATGTGAATCACCAATTAGTTGGGAAGATGCTTGTCCAGAATCACAAATCTGGTCATCTTCAGGGCAGCTCTCTAAGCGCTGAGAAACCACTTCTTCCGAGTAGTTTGGTGTGACAGTACTAATTTGACCATCTGCAGATGCGGGTTGAGAAGATGATTGTACAGAAGATGACAGAGAAGCATTGCAAATGATGGCATCTACACCAACTTCTGTCCGCATGGGTAACTGGCAAACACGCTTAAGTTTTCGCCGTTGTTCTTCGGACTCATGTACAATAACGCCCTCTGTAGCTGAGGCAAGACGTCTTTTCGTTACAGCTTTTTGCACTTGAGAAATCGGAGCACATAGAGTTCCTTCATCTCTGTCGTAAACTTGAGATTTAGTAGTCAAGCCGGAGTGTTGCTTTGGGATCCTTAGTTCTGACATCTGCCTTTGAAGCTTCACAATACGAGCTCTAAGAAGGTCAGGTGAGTATTCTGATTGCAGGTTGTGCCACACAATGCGTTTTAATGCAGCTCTCAATGCAGATATTTCACAATTTATAGCTTTTTCCTGTGAGCAAGTTTGGTACGTTACGAGCACAGAACCAAATTTGATAGTTCAAGAAGATAAAGGAGATGAGTACTTACTTGGGCTTCACGAGAACCAAGTCCATTATCATGTATTTTCTTGGCTAGCTCTTCTGAGTATAGCACGAAGTCTTTAAGAAGGGGCACAGGTGGAAACAAGTCAACAAGTTCATATACATGGATGTATCTAATAGCCAGCAGCCATTGTTTTCTCCTTATCAGATTTTCAATAAAGCCTATAAAAGTATATTAGATACATGAAAACTCAGTTGTACAAAATGGTTTATGATATGACATATAAGATAATCTCCCCACATAATTTAAGTGTCAGGTAGAATGAAATGGACAAAAATTACAACAACAACAACAAAAATCCAGCATAATCCCACAAGTGGGGTCTGGGGATGGTAAAGCGTACGCAGACCTTACCCTACCTAAAAGGTAGAGAGGCTATTTCCGATAGACCCCCAGCTCAAGGAAAGATGAAAAGAAAACAGTAGCAACTACCAATAAAAACAACAAAATAATAAGAAAAGAAGCGAAAGGAACATCATGTAGTAACAGAAATCTAACAATAAAAGAATACAAGACTAGCAGAAATACTCTACTAGTATGGGAAAGCAACACTCTCGACTACCTACCAGCCTTCTACCTTAATTCTCGACATTCACACCTTCCTATCAAGGTTCATGTCCTCGGTAAGCTGAAGCAACATCATATCATGCATAATCACCCCTTCCCAATGCTTTTTTGTCCTACCTCTACCTCTCTTCAGATCCACTAAGGTCAACCTCTCACACCTCCTCACTGAGGCAAAATGGAAATACATTACATCCTATAAAATACTGAAAGACTTCCAAAGTCTCTTCGAGAAGGAACAAAATATGATAAACTATTTACCATAGACAACGTATCCAAAAAGGCCATAAGAATATGAACTGGTTGACCAAAATATAATAGTAATGCATAAGAGAGCTGAATAAAGTTGAAACGAAAACCAACATATAACCAGTAGCTGATATCATACTTGGTATGTATGCGCATATGCATGAGAGAGAGAGAGAGAGAGAGAGAGAGACAGAGAGAGAGAGCATACATGGGATCTTATCTGCTAATCCTAGGATTTTGAACAGATTAATTGCCCTTCTGGACTGGTAAACAATCTCCAATAGACCTAGAAGCTCATCTGAATCATAAGAGGATGACAATTCAAAAGTAGCTAAAAGTTGCAAAAAGCCTAGGACCTCAGAATAGTTCAGCTGCGATCCGGTCAATGTTTCTCTCCACTCAACAGCAAGCACAACTGCCTCTATTTTAACCTGAGGTGTTATTTCTGGAGAAACTTCTCTCAGATGTTCCAACAAATCACAGAACCTCTTCATAAGTGATGATGGGCCATATTTACACTTCCCCAAGTTGGCAGAACGACATTTCCGCAATGCATCTAAGACAACCTTTGCAGGATCTGATGCACAATGGATAAAACTTAAAGAACAAGCAGAGGTTAAATCTCGTGCCTTGCTTTTCAATTCCACATTGTCAAAAAGAGGTTCAGTTTTAGAGGGATCCATAGATTTCTCAATCTGGGGATTTTCTCCTGAGAAGGTAGAATAGAACACATGATGTCATTAATATTCCACAATAATAAATGTGCCACACAAGACTGACCACATATGAATTCTTATCAGAAGTATTACCTGCAATACCCAGTACATGAAAATTCTGATATGCATTCTCATCCTGTGCTACAGTGTGGCACAAACTCTCAAGCTCATATTTATCGAAGGAAGATGCCAAGCCATAGGCACCTACTAGAAGCAGAAAACCCAATATTGCCAGATAGTTTTCTGTTTCAGCTATCATCTTTGCTTTCCAGTCAAATGCAAGCTTGCGTGCTTCCAGTTTGGCTTTTGGTTTAATCTCTGGTGAGAGCCTCATCAACTGTTCCAGTAGAAGAATGCAACTTTTCCTGATAACACTACGATCAAATAAAATTTCTTCATTATGAGGTTCTGGAGGATAAAATCCTTCAAGTGCTTCCAATACAAGCAATCCTGAGTCACATGACATTTTGAGAGCTCTAGAGATTTCAATGCGCAACAACTCCTGCTCATTCCAATGATTGTATAAAAAACTCTGCAAATTCTTTCCGCCCATGCTCACAAGGATGGAAGCCATAGCATCGGAATGACCTAACATGCAAGTGGAGGCCTTTCTAGAGAATGAGGTAGAGCTGAGGGTCTTGGCATCAGTGGGGACAGATGGACTAGTTGATACCACCTGTTTCAGCTGAGACTCAGAAATGACAGATGATGAGGTTACATCTGCTTTCTGCCTTGTGAGAGATTCTATACACTCTTCAAGCTGTGAGGGCGGGTATTGAGATTGAAGCTCGTGATCCATAATGCATCTGATAACAGCTCTAATGGAAGCTACACTCTGTTCAATGGCTTCATTCTGTACGCAAAATATAGGATTAAGCATTTCAAAGAAAAGATCTATCCAACAGGATATTATAATAGCAGTGACATGTGGTAAAAGACCTTTTCTTTGACTGAGCACGTTTCTCCATTACAAACGCACTCGGAAATCTGCATAACTTGTTTCAAGTAGTCTTTGAGAATAAGTATTGGTTGGAAATGGTCTGTGAGCTCAAAAGCATAAGCATATTCAACAGCTTCAAGATGCTTTTGCTTGGCTATGAGGTTCTGGATGAAACCTATCATGAATATGATTTAGTTGTCAAAGTTCCTTAATTACCTTTGAATAAATGGAATGACAATAATCTGCTCACATTTAATCTATCACCCGATAACATGCCATTCTACGAATATCCACAATGCAGCCATAGAATAATTAACAATTCTACCAAGACATCTCAACTGTTTGAAGATGGAAAAAAAACGCAATGTTAAGAAAACTCAACACCTCCGGAGGAATTGGCCACTTAAAGTTAAAGCCATTTCTCTTTCACAGTTGCAACACAATCTACTAGTTCCTCGTCATTTTGGATCAAGCTTTAGTGACCCCAGATCAATGCTAATAGTAAAAGGAACCTAGCCACACCCCCACTATGGTAGTACACACACCAAATTTCCCTCCCTTTTCGTGTTTCAGAGCAATGAAAGCTGTACCAAAATAGTAAACATCCACAAAGGAACACAATGCGTTCCTTGGTTACCCCATGATCTCATACTCAGATACCTACCAAGGGATTGTTTGATCAAATTGAAAATTAAGGTCAGCCATCTTTTCTTCAGACTAGTAACCAAAAGTATTTTCATTAATCAAAGGCTAAGCAGTAAGTCAGCGCAGGACAATGCAAAATCATCCGTTTACAATCACAATAAGTTCTGTAATGAGCTAAAAAATCTTTCATATTTTGTTCAGCATATACATCCCATACATTACATCGACGAGCTAACAAAGTAAGACATTTAAACTTCTACATATGCACAGATGTATTCCTTCCCTCAAAGCAACTCTATTTCCTCACTCTTTATACAATCTAGCATATACAAGCTGGTATATTCTCCAAATTTTCCTCAGATCTTTCCTGATACCGCGACCATTCTTGCATCACTTTGGAATCACCCATTTGACGTAAAATTAGCATAAAAACAGTTCTAACAAAAGTTTTGCACAGGGGAATGTTGGATCAGGTAACAGAAGTCTTGCCACAAGGCTAAAAATTACAGAGAAATTACATTATGGAAAACAAAAAGGTCTTTTAATTTACTATAGGATGTAATTATATATAAGACTGTATAATTAATATCCTAGCAATTACACAGCCAAGTAATTACATGTCATTGTTCCAAAACACCCTTAAGTTTCTGGCATACCACTTATCTACATCAAAATCAAATTGATCATCAATATCCATTTGGATGAGAAGCAATCAATAGTACGGAAATTATCTTACCAAATAGTGGTAGACTAGATTCGGGCAAGAGAAGATGTAGAATGAATGCAAGAAAAAGAATAACAAGACGAAGGCAACATCGATACTTACAAGGAATCTTCTCTGTGAAACCAAGAAGACGACCCAACTCCATTGACTTGTTATGCTCAGCAACAACAGTCAGCATGCTCATAAGCTCATCCGCATCAAAGGAAGAGACCAGACCATAAGAAGCCAACAGATACAAGAAGCCCAAGATCTCGAGTTGATCCCCAGTCATTGCCCTCATTTTAGCCTTCCACTCTCTCGCAAGTTTCCTTGCTCTTCTGCGCACAATAGGTTGAATCTTCGGTGATACTCTAATTAACTGCTCTAATAGAAGAATGCAGGTCTGCTTGACAACACTGCCCTCAAACTCTGTATCTCCGCTCATCAAGTGGGGAGGATAGAACCCTTCCATTGCATCAAGCACCAACTGTGCAGGGTTGCGAGACAATTGAAGGGACCTGAAAACATCATCAGACAACGAATCTAGCTTGTTTGCGTGCTCATTTAAGAATATCTGTAAAGTCTTCCCGTCCATTGTCACAACAAGTTTTATATCAGCAGAACTACAAGAGATAGCACCAACTCTTTCCACTTCTACATTGTATAAATAAATAGACTCAGTCTTCTCAGGGACATTACCAATAGTTTTCAGTTGCTTCATTTTCTCCTCAAGCACTTTAAACCGATCTTCCATGTGCTTTTCTCTTTGTTCAAGCTCTCTTAATTTCACCTCAACCTGTTTCTCTTTAAGTGCTATATCTTTCAGTTTTTTCTTGAAGAATCCTTGTTCCGTTTGGAATTTTTCCTTTTCTAATTGAAATTCACCATGAACCAAATCCAGTTTCTTCTCCCTAGAATCAAGATCTTCTGATCGCTGCTTATATGCCTCTTGAATAGAACTGAGCTCTCCCTCCCTTACTTGGAGTATTTCCTCAAAAAAATTCAAGTCCTGCTCGCAGAGTTCAAGTTTCTTCTTAATTGTATCCAGACCCTTGTCCTTGTCCTCCAGTTCCTTCTTCACTGAGGTCAAGTGGTCTTCCTTGATAGCAAGTTTCGTCTTTACAGAATCCAAAGTAGTTTCCTTCTCTCTTAGTTCCTTCTGAACGGAATCTAGGTAATGTTCCTTTACTCTAAGTTCCTTCTTTGCGGTGTCCAAGCTCCTTACTTTTGTTTCAAGTTCCTTCTCCATCGACTGTAAATTATTTTCCTTAACTTGAAATTCTTCCATTCGTTTAGCGAATTTTCTCTCTTTCAACTGAAGGACATCTGATTCTTTGCGAATCGAACTCTGAATCTTATTCAACTTCTCCAAGAGCTCCTCAAACTCCTTGGCCTTCATACTAATCTCCGTAAAACTAGACTTGCAAAAATTCTCCAACTGCTTATGCTCAAATCCTATTTCCTCCAAAAGGCGTTCCTCAATCTTCTCTTGCTCGATCAGCTTCCCTTCTCTCAATTTCACAGCTTCATCGAATCCCTTTTTGGCAAAAATGAAGTCTTGCCACTTGCATTCCAAATCCCTGATTTCTCTTTCTTGGAATGCACAAAACTCCTCTTCTTTCGTCTCAACTTCTTTCCGTCTCTGCTCTAAAGATTCCCTGATCAAGTCAAGTTCCTTAGAGCTCTCAGCCACCGATTCTTGTACTGAAGTCAAGTACTTCTCCCTGACCTCAAGTTCATTGAAGCATTCTTGCAAACACTTGGTGGTCAAATCAGACTCCTCCTCAAAAGTCTTCCATTCCAGCATAAACATTAACATTAATTTCCTTAAACGCTTCTTCATTACCTCATTCTGTTGCATAACGTGAGATATCTTCTCCATAAATAAGCCTCTTTTTATTTGCTCACACAATATTCATAAGCTAAGAGCAAGGAAAATGAAACAAACCAGACTTCTTAAATACTCGGACTCAAAAGTACTAGGTTAACGTGAACTTGAGCACATAAAATAAAAAAGGAAAATACAATATAAGAAAAAGTCAAGAGTGAATACCCCGTTTCTGAGAAGCAGCCTCAATCTCGATTGAGAGAATCCTAATATACTCTAAATAACCGAATTACTGTCTATTTTGAGATTAAGAAACACTGGTGGTTCAATTGCAGGGTTTTCCAGTTTTCTTCAAAATTCTGGAGGTTAAAATAATTCTTCACTTTCCTACTTTTTAAATGGGGGAAAATGACAAAAGTGGCCTCTTATTTGAGGGTAGGTTCAAAGTAGTCCTTAAGTATGATCTAAGTAGTTTTTGCCCTTTAGGTTTGCCAACTTTTAACACTTTTGGTCTCTATTAATTGTATTAAAAGTTAAACGAACTTTAGATTTGATTGAAACTGTATAAAAAGGGAGATTTAGATGGAATTCACATTTAGATGTACAATTTTTTGTAGATTCTGCTATTTTTGGTATATTAGATTTTACGAGAACCGTAAAAAATGAATTTGGCGGAAACTCACATTTAGATATATAATATTCTGTAGTTTTTGCTATTTTTGATATATTTTTATAGTCTGATGCAGCTTTTTAAGGTGTAATTCTACCATTTTGGTGTAATTTTTTGTGTTAGTGCATTTTTTTTAATTGTGTTTTTTAGGATTAATATGCACTAAGCTGCCAGTTTTTGTCCATTTTTTAGGATTTGATAGAACTTTCCTAGTGTAGGTTACATTTTTTTTTGTCAAAGTTCCCGTCAATCTAATAGATAGTAATTTTTTACGGAGAACAAAAGCATGCATGAGACAGATGTGTGCATTGGGTATAAAATGCTGAAGTGGAGCCCTGGCATTAATCATCTATCGTATGCAGATGATACTATTCTATTTACCTCACCGGATGAGGATTCATTGCAATATATAATGGGAGTACTACATGCATATGAAGATATTTCGGGCCAGAAGATAAACAAAGACAAGCGCAGTCTATTTGCATGAAAATGTGCAATTTCAAACCATTGAAAGAGTCCAAAGAGTCACTCAGCGAAAGGATTTTCCTTTCACTTATCTTGGTTGTCCAATCTTCTATGGTAGACGAAAGAAATACTATGATGGACTGGTAGATAAGGTTTCTAACAGGTTGAAGGGTTGGCAAGGCAAAATGCTATCGTTTGGAGGAAGGGCCATATTGATTTACAAACCATGCCTATTCACTTATTGTCGGTACTATATCCTTTAGATTGTGTTATTCATCAATTGCATACTATTTTTGCCAAGTTTTCTTGGCAGAACTCTCAAGAGCATTCGTGCAGGCATTGGCCGTCATGGAAAACGTTGTGCTTACCTACAACAGAAGGAGGTATGGGGTTCCGGTCTCTATTTGATATCTCTAATGCTTTATTTGCTAAATTATGGTGGAATTTTAGAACTAAAGATTCTTTATGGAGAACGTTTATGGCAAACAAATATTGCAATTATGTTCACATAAGTTCACACATTACACAAATAAGTTCACACCCTAGTACATGTATGTAGCTACTAATCTAGTTCATGAACTAATATGAACTAGTGTAGACAAATGTGAACTAATGTGGACTAGTGTAGACAAGTTTGAACATATCTGAACAAGTCTAGACAAATGTGGACATATGTGAACTAATGTGGACAAATGGGGACAAGACAATACATTAATTTTAACACTCCCCCTTAATGTTTTGTTCTTGGACTCCCAAAAGCTCACGAATTTGATGAACTTCTCCTTGGGTAGCGCCTTGGTAAAAATGTCCGCAACTTGATCCTCGGACTTGCAAAACTTTGGCTCGATCACTCCTTCTTCAACTTTTTCTCTGATGAAGTGATACTTCACTGCTATGTGCCTTGTTTTGCTGCTGTAAATTGGATTCTTTGCCATTGCTATGTTTGACTTGTTGTCACAAAACAACTTTGTCGCATTGTCTTGCTTTTCTCCAACATCTTCTAAAATTCTTCTAAGCCAGACTGCTTGAGAAGTTGCAATTCCTGCTGAAATATATTCAGCTTCTGCTGATGATTGTGCTACTATTTCTTGCTTCTTTGATTGCCAAGAAAATACTCCGATCCAAGTGAAAACACAAAACCAGATGTGCTTTTCATGTCATCTTTTGAACCTGCCCAATCACTGTCACAAAATCCAATTAAAGTTAATTCTTCACCCTTGAAATATTTGATGCCATAAGCGAAGGTTCCTTTGATGTAACGAAGAACTCGTTTGGCTGCTCCAAGGTGAATATGACAGGGACTTTGCATAAACCTTGACAACAAACTAGTAGCGAACATTATATCGGGCCTCGTAGTCGTTAGATACATCAAACTACCAATGATACTTCTGTAAAGAGTGTTGTCCACTTTTCTTCCACCATCATTTTTTATCAGCTTCTCATTTGAAGCGAGAGGTGTTGGTACTGCTTTGCACCCAAACATATTAAACTTTCTAAGCATTGCTTCAGCATAGCTTTGCTGAGAAACAAATACTCCATCATCCTCTTGAGTAACTTCAAGACCAAGAAAATGATGCAATAGACCCAAATCACTCATTTCATATCTTTTCATCATGTCTTTTTTGAACTCAATAACTGTTGATACCCAAATTTTTCCTGTTTTTTTTAATATGCAAAATACCTTCAAAATAGCATGTATATACATATATAAGTATGTCCCAATGTTTTATTATTTTTCCTATTTTTTAAATTAATTTATTGCCTTATTTTATCAAGAAAAACCCAGTAATTATTCCCAAAATTATCATTTTGGTAATTCATTTATTGGATTCTCATAGTTACACTAAAATATAGCTAACATAATTTTTGCGCATTTTTTACAAGTTTATTTAGTATTTCAAAAGCTAATTGCATATAATTGCAATATTAGCCTCTTTTAAGGTTTAATTGTGTTTATAATTATAAAATTGACTCCAGTATTTTTAATTTGATAATTACGTATTATTAATCATTTCAGTACCTTTAATTTATTTTCAGAAATTATTCTACTATTTTTATAAAATAAACAAGGGAAAATAGCTATTTAAATATTAGCCCATTTTCATTTCAATTTTTAGCCTGATTTGGCACCCCAATTAGACCCAATCCTCAAACCCAATTATTCAGCCCAAATCCTAATCTACCCGACCCACGACCGTTTTAAAATAACCCGCCCGGATCCCCATTCCATCCAGGCCGTTGATCAAAATGATCAACGACCACCATTTAACCTTTCCTTTTTAATTCCCCATTACCCCCCAAACCCTAATCACTTCTCACCGGTAGCCGCCCTTGAATCCCCCTTTCTCCCAAATTCTCTCTCAAACCTAGCCGCCGCCTTCTAACACCACCCTAAAATCGCTTGAATCAATGGCTTCCAAAGCCATTAAAGGCCTGTATCTGCCTCCTGTGACTCCTACATGCTTGATTATTATGGTTTCAAGACCAGGCTTTAAAGAAGCTTGGTCTAGACCTCGGATGCTTTCAGTTCTATGGCTGTTTCCGGCCATCTTTGACCTTGTTCCGACCAGCCATGGCTATTCAAGCCTGACTCTTGGCTTTTCCTGCTCAGGTCAATGACCTTCCAAGCCTTTCTCACCATCTGAGTTCTTCCGAAACCCTAACCTTCGAGGTTCTTTTGATTCTTTTAGATCCGTTGTAGATTTGTGTTTTCTCTAAGCTTTTAAACGTTTTCTCAAAGTTTCTTTCAAAACTTTACCTTCAGAACCTTTATCTTTTCCGATTTAGGGTTTTGTTAAGTTATTTAGAAGTTTCTCTGATCTTTAGCATGTTCTACTGTGTTCCTTTATGTTGTTCTTCTACTGGAGTGTGCATGTTAAAGTCTTAGTTCTTTCTTAAGGTTTCTGATTTTATTTTCTTTGTTGATATTTTTGCCTGATTCTCTTGTCTTTCATCTCTATACTCGATTGATGGTAGAAACCCTAAAATTTGGGGGTTCATTCGAGTTTTGAGACTATTTGCTATGTGATTTGCTTGTTCCTCATCTCTGAACTTGTTTGGTTTCAAAACCCTAATTTCTTTGGACCTATTCGAGTTTCTGAAGTTGTTTCATCTACTGCTTGACTGAGTTTCGAAATCTTTGTTTCAACTGTTGTTTCTTTGTATGATTCTGACTTCCAGCTAAACTCTATAAGATCTTTTACTTGACCCCTTTTGCATGCTATTGGATACTCCCTCTTCTCTGTTACTGAGGTGACTACCATGTTCCTATAGTCCACTACTTACTGATTTTGTGATTGCATGACACTTCTCTTTTCCATAGATTCAGCCTTGCATGCTTAATGTTTATGCACTCTTTATAGGCTAAATTTCCCTCTCAAAATAACCCTTAATTGTGGACTGATTTCAGACCTTCTCGTGTAAGTTTGATTGATTCTTTCCTTGTTTACTAATATTCATGTTTCTTGGGTTGATTTGAAAGCTTTCCTTAGCCTTTCGATTCTCCTATTTCTGACTTGGTTTATTTGTTTATTCATGAATCAGTAATTTCGAATCCCTGACTCCTTGATTTACTATGCACTGATTGCCTCTATATTCTGCAGCTTTACTTTATTTTCTTACCTTATTTGGTTAACCGAGTCTTTCAAAGATTCTTCCCTTAATTAAACCCTTATGTATTTACCCCTAATTGTCTACTTTGCACAAGTTGCTTACTTGATTTCTTTCCTTAAAAGTTTTTTGTCCACTACCATTTGGTTTTAACTCTTGATTAAAGGAAGTCTTTGATACTGATTGATTTTTAATACACTTTTCCATAATTATTTTCTTGCCTTACTTTCTACCTATTTTCAAACTATAAATACCCGGCTTTTCCATTAACAAAGACACACGAACACTCTTAGTTTCTGAACTCACACTCACACTCAAAAGTATTCTCTCTTGTTACTTCTACTGTGGCCTGCTCTCAAGCCCTGCTACTTGCTTTTACTGTATTTTGCTCTTTGAAACTGGTATGTCCTGATTAAGATTTTCAGCAATCACAATAATGTGTTTACTTAATACTTTTACCCTCTTGTCTGCCTACTGCTTGTGTTTAGTTCAGTACTTATTTTAGCATGTTGCAATTTCCTTTTGCCTGTTCTGCACCTACTATGCATCCTAAATGTGTTTGATGCTAATGGTTTGTTTGAGGCATGACAGTATTAAGTATTACTAT